AAAGGGAAAGCCAAGAAGAAATGCAGGATAGAACTTCTCACAGCAGAAATGGTCATTATTCTGCTTATGCTTATCCAAGCCTGCTTTTGCTCTCCTGGTGACTGTACCCTGTTCAACATAATCTGTATGTAAGGCAAGAGATCCATTTCATGATAGCAGAGCAGGCAATACAAACCCTGTGAAATACCAACAGTCAGGCTGCTGCTCAGTTCCATCTTTGACACTAATACTGCATTAAACCTTTCAGCAGGAACCATTTCTAGAACTAGATAAGGGCGTGAGAACAGAACCTAGAGCTGCAGAACCTGAAATAACAAGAAGATATTGCTGTTTCCATCCCCCAAATTAAAGCCACAACCCATTTTTAACACTTTTTAATGCCCCTCTATGTCAGTTTCTGTAGCATTTGTAAACTTTTTTCTCAATATGCATTGAAAGAGACTATTTCGAAATTACCCTCTCAATGCAATGATATTTCATCTAAAACTTTTGGGCAGGCAAACAATGGGCTGTAAAAATCTGGGTAAGCTTCCACTGGTAGAGTTTTTCAAGAGGGCTGGGTAACTTGTATCTATGTTATACACTCTCTATCACAGAATCTGCTTCTGTGTCAACCATTCAATCATTTTCACCAGTTCTGAAGATTCTAGGAGAGTTCCTCTTTTGAGAGGATTATTGTTTGCCATCACCGTTGCCATACTGGCAACTCATCTAAGATGTGTTTATTTAAAAAAAAAGCCTTTTCTCATTTTCATAGCTGTGAAAATTTATCATGGAAAGGTGACATGACCTGCCACTGATTCAGTGATGTGAATCTCTGAAACATTTGAGAATTTTGTGCTACCTGTTAATCTCAGAGAAAATATATCTATGAAATGTAATGACAATTTACATTGTATTTTAAAAGCATATAGAAGCAAAAATCCAAATGATTTGGGAATATTTTTTTTTCTCCTAAATTATCAAAGCATTTGAAAAAAAAAAATCAAATTAGCTATTTCTCTGCTGATAATTCTAAGTATCCAGGTGACATCACTTTCAAATAATCCAAACCTGTTCTGGGCATTTCCTTTGCGTTTCCAATTTCTCGGAGTCCTGCTGAAACAGCCTCTCCTGGAGTTTGTCTGGCTGAGAAATGGGCTTAGTAACAGGAAAAACTGCAGATAATAATTAGACTCAAACAACTGTGTTATCTGCATTTGTGTGCAGAACATACAACTGCTTATTAAGATTAAATGGATTTTAGTGATCTACCACAGATTCATAAAGAAAAAAAAAAAAACTGCCTCTACCATGTAATCATGAAAAATAATCAGAGTGGAGGAAATCATTGTTTTCTTAATGTTTGCAGAGCGTTCAGACTATAAGAGATCCTATAAAAGATCATTTAACTGTACATTTAAGATCTTTGTAATTTCTAACTATGCAAACTTCTACACCTCTAACTAAAAAACGTTATTTTTCTGTACCATTCTGTTGAGTACAACAGAAGCAGGTGACACAGGTATCTGAATGAAAAATGCTTTTTGCTTGTTCTCTCATGGGGCCAAACACCAGAAAACTTAATTCCTATTTCTGATGTGAAAGCTAAGAACCCCCACCACAGAGCTACTTCTAGTAGAAAGAAGATCTCTGTTTTTAGAGAAAGAAAAAGAAACTAAGAGGGGGTAAACGACTCTGAGTGAGTTTTGAGGTAAATTTTTAACTAAAAATTAATTCAGAATCATATGTAACTATTTGTTCTTAAAAGTTTTGCTCCTTTTTATCAATTTATTCTCACTTTATTACAAGTGCACATTACAGAAACATCCTATAATGAGATTTTTGTGGATAGTAACTTTAAAATAAAAGTTGCAGCAATAGCTTTATGTTTGGTAATTGCTACTTCGGTTGTGTGAGTACAAGGTTATACATCATACTGCTTGCCTATTATTTTTTGTGTTTCTGAAACCTACAGATCAATTAATTGAATGATGCATCAAGAACAAATGTGCAGCAAAACATTCATATTCAAAACACTGGAAAAAAGAATGTCTTTACCTTTTGTCAGCAAAACTATCACTCCTCCCTGCAGGTCTTGTGACTTTGCAAGTTTTACTTTTTTTGTAACAAAATCAAAATCCAGTTGTGGTCACTTAGGGACTCTATTCTCTTGTTGGAAAGACATTGCTGTCGACACTGTAACTGCAGATAAACCTTAATAGATATCTTTAGAGCAGTCCTGCTATTCACATTTGTCTCAATCACTGGATACTAATTTAAGTAACTCTACCCACTTTAAAACCCCATGCTTGCTACTTTTGAGTGGCAGAAGTGTAAATTTTGGGAGTGCAAAACTTTCTATCAATTATCTCTGCTTTTTTGTACATGCATCTTGTAAGCAATTCTATTTGGGATTCTCTCAGGAGTTGTGGTTGAAGAGCAAATAACAGCATGGAGGCAAAATGAATTTGGATAGCAAAACACTTTAATCACAGATGTTGCAATTTTATCACACCACTTCCCTTTCCCATGGAAGGCATGATGTGGCCTGGGACAGACAGTGTAGTGGTTTCAGCCACGTGCATGGCTGTAGGGTATTGTGGGCTCATCCCCACACTTCTCGGTGCTGGAGGGAAGGATTCCTGGATTCTGATGCAGAGCCCCCTCACACCCCTCCATCCCATTTTCTGTCATATGTTTACCTCTGAAGCTTCCTCAGCTACAGGACCTGCTGACTGTCCCCTGCAGACCATCCTGGCGGTTCTGGTTTAGCTGTTCCATCCTCTGAGCTAACTATCAATGTCTGACCTTCTGGCTGAGTCTGCAGTGTTACTGAGGACACGTGGTTGATCACTCTTCACCTGCTCTAATACAGCAACCAGTTAATCTAAGCTGGTCAGCATGGCTGACAGCACCAAGAATCCTATTTGCATCACAGAAATTAAACATTTCTTTTTTGTCCTGTTAAACATGAAGGTTATGCAGACATAAAGGGTCAAATGTGACATTCTGGTTATGCTAAAATGATGGTGACCTCCCACCACGGGGCTTCTCTGAAAATTCAACCATACTCCACTTCCAGATATCTTTCCCTCTAAATAAATTAACTGAACATTGCTCGAGTCACACCCACACTTACTAATGCCCCATCCACAGCTGGACACTGGGAGTTCACAGCTCATCCTATCCTCTAAAAGAAACCCATCATCAATACAGCCATGGAGAAGTGCTGTCTGTTCTCAGCACACAAACCATTAATGCTCAGGACAAATACACCCCTACTAAAGCTTGTTAGACCAAGTTCAGGAATAGCTTTAACTAGACTTAGGCATAAAGTTGCTAACTGAAGTTTTCCTTGGTACATTTAAAGCAAAAAAAAGTTACTTTGTTGTACAACATACAGCTAAGTATTTCCTTTTTACTACACTGAAAATGGGCGACCTGCCTGATTTTGCACTTAGAAATCTGGTGATATGGTGCAAAATTAATCTTATTTTCTTGTCATTCTATTACTAAGTGAAAATAAAAGAGAGGAAAAATTTAAAAAGCAGCCAATATATTATTAGCTATATTGAGACTATGCTGAATTTATTTACTTGATACTGCATGCCAGCTGCAGCAATCAAAACAGGTGACTGATGTAAAAGCATAGGAAAAACATGCAGAAGCACAAGTCTTACTTAAAGTCTCTATATAAATATAGCATAGCCAGATCTTGTGTCCCACAATTCCAAATTTAACAGCTAAAAACTTCCTAAAGAAACTTAAGAGATAGATTGACTTACTTCTGAGCACTCTGGATTCAAAAGACTGTAATCACAATCTACAGGAGAAGAAGCAGTCACTATATTCTGAACCACACAGTTAAGCAACTGTTCAGTTCAATGTGGTGAGCCCAGCTGAACTCTCAGATGGACATCTTTAAATCAGAGCTTTTTCTCTAGGAATAGAAGGCAAAGTACTTTGACATACTTCTATCTTTATTTAACAAGTACTTTATTACTTTTCTCTAAAGATTTTCATTGATTTTATCTAGTAAAACAGTTCAGTTTTGTAAATAGGACTCTGGGAAAGTTCTGTATCTCTCTAGAAATAAAATCCAGGAAATAGTAGATTTAATGCATCAATAGTTTTCCTAGAGTGCTTTACACACATAAATAGAGCACATCAAAGTACTGTTTATTTCTACATTTGGGTTTGGGTTTGCCATAGACACTAAACTGAGTGGAGATGTCAACTCCCTCAAGGACAGAGGCCCTGCAGAGACCTAGACAAAGAGAGATGGGCAATCACATACCATAAGAAATGTAACAATGGCAAGAGCTGGATTCTGTACCTCAGACAGGGTTGTGTGTACAGACTGGGGAGCAGGAGGGTGGAGAGCAGCTGTGGGAAGGGTGCTGGGGTTGTTGGGTATGAGTCAGCTGTGCCCTGGCACCCAGGAAGGCAAATCATGTCCTGGAGGGCATCAGGCCCAGCACCACCAGCCAGGCCAGGCTCTGCTCTGGGGCAGTCTCCAGTCCTGGGGGCAGTTTTGGGCTCCTCAGTATAAAAAGCCACATGAAGTTTAGAGGGGGTCCAGAGAAATGCCATGAGGAAGTGAAGGATGTCAAGGTGAAGCCTTATGAAGAGTGGATGAGGACACTTGGTTTGCTCAGCCTGGAGGAGACTGAGGGGAGACCTCATTGTGGTCTTCAGCATCTCTTCACTCTCGTGACCCGTGACAGAACTTGAGAAAATGGCATGAAGCTGAGTCAGTGAGGTTTAGGTTGGGTATCAGGAAAAAGTTTTTCATCCAGAGTGGCTGGGCACTGGAACAGATTCCCCAGGGAAGTGGTCAGAGCACCAAGCCCTGCCTGAGCTCAAGAAGAGTTTGGACAACACTCTCAGGCACTTGGTGGGATTCTTGGTGTGTCCTGTTCAGGGCCAAGACTCAAGTGATCCTGATAGGCCCCTTCCAATTCAGCATATTCTATGATTTGTAGAAACCATTTTCATTTTGGAAGAAAGAGGCTTTCTTCAATTGCAGAATTCCATCAAATATAATTTCCTGCAATTCTGATGTGTACAGGGGATTACACAAAATGCAAGGTTTTCTCACAGATATTATAGTAAACTCTATTGCAACTACAAGACTCGATAATATTACCAAAATGATGTTTACATTTTGGAAGGGGTTTTGACTGCAAGATGTCCACTCTTCCAGACTTCTCAGCTCTCTGGAATGAAACAAACAGCTCAGTGAAGCATTAAACCTTACTTAGGCTTGGTTTGCTTTACTTGAACCAAGATGAATAAGAGTCATAACAGTAGTATAACCATGAAGGAGGTCATCCTTTATGTCATTACATTCTCTTAATACGAAATTCCCAGTAACTATTCGATCACAGCCTATTTCCCCATGTCCAAAAAAGCCAAAGAGGGGGACATTTGGAAAAAACTTCCTAAATGCATCTGCTTCCATATTCCTTTTGGTTTTGTAATGCCGATATCCTCTGCCAACACAGGCAAACATGAAGCCAATGGTGTTGTGCTCAGGGATGTTTGCTGCTTTGAGACGCTGCATGGCTGCTTCTGCTGTCCTCTCATCAGCCACATCCTGGTCTAAAAGGACAGTGGCACTCTGGATCTGGGGACCGCTGAAAGCCAACCCAACCACACCACAGGCGTCACCAGGCTGGGCGTGGTTACTGAAAGGCAACAGGCACCGAGTTAGAGAACGTTTTGTGGGGACCACTTCTCACCTGACTAAACCATCTGTGGCAGATGTAGGTTCAAAGCAGCCAACAGTACAGCAATTCTGTACCATCCACAGCTAAAAACCAAACCAAAGACGTAATATTTTAGCAATGTTTTTGTGTAGCAACCTTTCACAAGGAAAACTTCCATATCCATTACGAGACATTAAGCACAAACTTGTTTCACTCATGCCAAATTCAGCAGTTTGTGTATGTCACAGCTCTGCAATTCCAGCTAAACCATCAGTTAAACTTAGGACAAACAAAGGCACTGAGGATTTATACATGAAAGCAGGGCAGCAGCCAGCAAAGGTTTTGGATTCATGTTGCTTTAAGTTGGTTGGCCAGGACACATGGGGCTTAGTAGTCACATACTTAACCTTTATCTGCAGGGACTTTATTTAAGGTCAGGTCTCTCATCTGGGGCAACGGTGCACTGGTAAAATCAGATGCAAGAAAAATGTTGATATTAATACGGACTACAGACCCCCAATGGCACGAGAGCAGCCTATGGGCATGGCTGTACAGAGCTCCACAGGACCGAGTGCCAAATCCCTCAGCAGCCTGGGTGGATCAGGTGAGCTCCTGGGGCACAGCCCTGTCGTGTGTGCAGCCACTGCTCTGTGCTAGGGGCAGAACTGATACACAAATACATGTTCACAACCTGGGCTCCGTCACAACAGGCACTCAATTACTTGCACTCCAGAGATGAAATGCTGACTACAATAAACAAACAAAAGGTATCTGAAGCTGAAAATCTTTTCAGTGGGTTTTCAGAATCCAAATTGCAACACAGCCATACAAATCTTCCAGCTTTTCTGGCTACATCAGAGTGTAGCAGTTGGGACATTTTTCCATTTAAGAAATTGTTGTTTTACTACTGGTAAAGGGGATTTTCAATATAACTAGAAGGCTATGGATCTGCAGTGTTTCTCTCATTTTAAATCTTTTTCATCATTTACCTTAAAAAAAAATACCTACTTCTCAGAGGTCAGTGATGTAAAGCTCTCCACCTGTCCCCCAGCCAGAATGATACTTTTCTCATTCAATGGATTGACTATTTGATGAAGAAATCGAGTAGCTCCAGTCTTCCAGGAATTGTAGCCAAACAGAAGAACAACACGGAGATCTGGGTTATTCTTCAGACCTACAAACAAAAGCCAACACTGATCCCCCTTATTTTTAAATCCTGAACTCTGAAGTTCAACCATCCTAGTTTCTCCCCAACTAATACATCACACATCTCTCAGAACAGCTCTGCTTGAAATGTAACTGAGGTAACTGGAAACTGATACTCAGGATAACTTATCCTTAATTCTCCAGAAACTAGGAGGAGCAGAGATACACAGTAACCAGCTGGAGCCCCACAGAGGCTCTTGGAGACAGTACAGAAGCTGCTGGTTCTACGCAGAACTCCAGATTGGCACCTCAGAGAGCAGCACCTCACAGAAGCCCACATAAAGGAGAGGAAAATGACATACCTGCCTCAGCAAATTTACTTTCATCAAAGACCCTGTTCTTCACGTCTTTAGAAAAATGGAAGGTATGAATTTTCACCCCATCGATTTTGGGAAACAACAGAGCAAACCCAGCTTCGCCCTCTTCAATTTCTTGAGGCTGATTGCTGCTTGAACCCATCGGGGTAACTACAAAGACAAAACCAAACGTCTTGTGTTCAGAGATTCTAATACTTTCATTTACACTGTAACATGGGCAGAAAGAGGTTGAACAGCTCAGGTGAGATAAAACATTGACAATCTATTTCCATAACAACTTATCTAATTGAAAACTAGAGTGATTTTTTGGTCGATATTCTGGAAAGATGAAACGTGTAAGTCCTGCTGGCCACCGATCACACTGAAGTCAGTTTTGACATGGAGACATGGATGTATTTACACATATCCCCCCAGGAACACCAAATATACAACATTAGGAAACCAAGAACAGAGCAATACAAACCTTCCTGCCAACTTCTGCAGGCACAGACATACTCAAGTTTTTAAGGTGTCCTATAAGCATGTGATGACAATATAAAGCAAACTGACACAAAAATTGGGAGCGTGTTATTAAAATATGGTAATGACAACAATCAAATACCTTACTTACAATGTGGAAAGTGAATTTAAGGTAAGAAACCTTAAAAAACCCAACTTTCTAATGATAAAAATGAAGCATGAGAAAAAGCCTGCCATGGGAGGCTGTGAATTTCCCAGTTACTGCATATGCCTCCTGCTAGACCATTATGAACAGCTATGCCCTGTACAGTCAGTCAGAATATGACTGAAATGTATACATAAATCCAAGCAACGTTCAAGAAGTACATTAAGGCGCCAGGGAAAGCTGCCTGCCCAGTTAAATCTACCTTTTTAATTATAACCACAATATATGAAGTAAGCTCACGTCACTCAGCAGCGTCACTGTGAACTCCTTAAAATCAAAGCAAAGGTGGGAATGACACCTTCACACTGACCTCAAAACCCCACACATTCTGCTCCTACCTACAATCCCTGGGGTGACCAGTCCAAGAACGTGACATCGCTTTGGCAACAACTTTTCAAGTGCGAGTGCTGTTTCTTTACTGTTTCTTTTTCTGGCTGTAAAAATAAGAGACAAAAAAAGCCGTCAGACAGCAGTAAAAGTGTGTTCTGAGCAAAGCCCACAGCCAACCCCGTCCTGTTTAAGCAATGCTGCCCATTAGTGGCCATCCTGGTAACAGCACGCCGGTCTGTGCTGCTCCTTGAGAGCACTGGGCTGCCGGCAGGCAACCACACAGCGTACTCCACAGAAGGGAAAGGAACCCATCTGTGCACATTAACGCAGATCTGTGAGCTGCTTCTTACCACAAATGCAATACTACCCGGTCGTGGTTTCCGTGAAACATTTCCTTTCCACTGAAACCAAAACTCAGAGAATTCCCTTTCAGGTGACTATGCTCTACTTACATCCCAATGTTTCTTTAAGTGGGAGTGAGTTAGGCCCAGGCTTTACCTTTCTTTTGCTCGTGACACTCCTCGTGCCCGCTGAACGTCTCTGCATCAGCAATGTAGAGCACGGTCTGAGGCAGCACATGAACCTTCTGCAAAGACACAGGTGGAGGAGTACACGAGATGAGATAAGACGGAGTGGAGAGAAAGTGCAGGCACAAACCCAGGAGAAACTGCTCCTGCTCCACCGACAGCCCACGCTGTTCCCCTCCCCCTGCCTGTCAGCCAATAGATAACTTCTCATTAGCCCCAGAAGTGCCCAGATTTAGTCAGTGAATTGGTAGCACAGGTAGGAAGTTAACCCAAACCTCACACAAACAAGAACAGCTCTGCAGGCCGGCCCCATGACTCTGCTCCTTCTTTTAACACTATCTAAACTCCTTCCATTCATGGTTGTCGGCTTCTGCTGTTCATCATTAGTGCTGATACTGGGAAACGGTGTAGAGATGCTTCTGGCCCTTGTTTCAGTTGGTTTAACACTGATATGCTGAGGCGACCCTGACATGAGCGTGTAGTGAAGATCCCGTACCACGTTAATACCGCAAAGAAATCCTGCAGTGTTTACTCAGTGTCTCCCAGCCTATAAGGGTTTACCTCTTAACAAGATTGCCGCGATGAACAGATGTGCCCTGAACTGCAAATCCTCTGCGTTTTGATCGGTGTATTAACACGCAACACTCACTGTCAAAACCACCCACGCCTCCGAACACGTCCCTTGAGCCGGGCGGTCGGAAGCGCGTTCAGCGTTTAAGCGAAGGCGCTGAGGGCCCTCAGGCCGCCCCCCAGGTCCCCTCACCTCAAGCTCGCGGGCCAGCGCGCGCACCAGCGCGTGGTTCTCGGCGGGGCCCGGCTCCAGCGCCGACACCCACGCGATTCGCTGCCGCGTCCGCAGCGTCCGCCGGGCACACTCCCTCCATAGCCGGCACACGCTGCAACACAACACGGACACGTCGCGTCGGCCGCACCGCCNGCCGCAGGGCGGAGGCCGGGGCCGCCCCCAGCGCCGCCGTGCCGGAGAGCGGCGCAGCCCCGGCCCTCACCCAACCGCGCCGGGGAACAACACGCACTGGGAGCGGGGCCAAATCTCCCATCGTTTCTTTCGAGCTAAAAACTGGATCTAGAAGCAAACGCACAAGGACCCGCGGGCGCCTGATAGAGAAAAAGAACAAGTTCGATAGTCAACTAAAAAAAAACAACAGTAACAAAAACATGCTTCTGCACTTCGGCAAGTGCTTAATCCATGGAACACACCCTTGGCTCGGCCCCGAGGGGTGTACAGGCCGAAGGACTAGTACTACAACCAAAACAGAGTCGATTCTGGTAAGGCAATGAAATTGTGTGTCAGTACACAGACCCAGATTCATCTAATAAAGAACGAACAGTTCCCATTAGTCTTTCAATAACAAAACCACTGTCATGAATATGGCAGCATTTCTAATGCCTCTGAATTGGATGACATGTTTTTGTACTTTATTGTAGCTTTTATATAAAAATTTTTCATTCAAGGACTTACATCTCTATTTGTGCCAATCGCTTTTTAAGTTCATTAGTTTAGAAATGATTGCAACAACCCGTTAATAAAATGGAACACCTAAAAAGGTTTTTAGTATTTTAAATAACTTCAAGCTTCATACTGTGGCTCTTCTTGTTAAGGAGGTTGAGCCAACAAGTAGCAGGAACAGCCCAGCAAGTTCTGATGCCCCAGTGGAAGTGACCAGTTACAAGGTTTTATTGGCACAGCCTTGCTCTGCATAAAAACAAAAAATCGAAACAAAATAAAAAAGAAAAAAACCAAAAAAATCAAGATAATCTAAACAAAAAACATCTTTTCCAATAAACAGTTCATATTCTCATACAGCCATGAAAAATGTTTAATGACTTAACATACATGTGTTTTTCCTATATCATTAATTTGGAAAATACTACAAACGCTGTCATTTTAGACCAGAAAAACTACTGTGATTTGCAAGACCTGACATTTTCTAAAACAGATTTAAACAATGTATTAAACTTCTTGGCTTTAAATTAAACAATAAAATGCAAGTCTCTGAAGTCTGCATTTTGCAAAAAGTAGGAAATACACAGAAGTGTGTGAACAACTCACTCCTATTGTATGAGCTTTAGTAAATGGATAGCCTGCTGCAGGGAGAGCTTATGTTTTCAAATAAAAAAAGGGAGAAGGGAGGGCACGGCTCAAATCTGCTTAATCCATAAGAACAAATATGGTAAAGGCCCAAACTGCTCAGTCCAGATGCCTAAGAAGGGCAGAATGGTAAGGCTGTAACTTATACTGCACGTGTCAGTTGACAGATTATCCACTAACTTATCTAATAGCTAAAGTCCTCAGTTCAGCTGTTATAGGGGCACTCATAGCTTGAGTCTGTGTGTTGGAAAACATAAAAAAGAGCTTGTTTTGTTGACATTGGTCCAGGTATACAACTGTCCTCAGCATTAGCCATCTTCTTTTGGAGGAGTGTACCAGCCTGTGGAGAACAGAGACATGTTAGGTACCAACATTGCTAACGTTGTGAGTGTCCAGACAATCCTATTCTTCACCCATGGGAGATGGAAGCCTGACCTGGCTCAATCCTTTCCCTCCTAAAGCAGGCCAGCTTAGTGAGACCTAATGCCCTAAATACGGGGAACAAACCATGTGACAGGATCAGACCTGGTATTCAGGTGTGCACGTGGATTTCTGTGGCAGCAGCTATCCTGAGCTGGACAAGCTGAACACCAACAAGAGGAAGCTGCTGAAGGAGGAACATTGCTCTAACAAAACTTAATAGAAGAGAGGTAAAACCCCCAAGTCTTCAAGCTACTTCAAACATAGACATACAAACATGACTGCACTGAGACACATATAAATCCCATTCTGTGTACTGCAGAGTTAGGCATACAAAAGCAACTGAATGGTTTACCCTATTTCTGCAAGTCTTACCGTAGGAATAAACTCAGAAATGTCAGCTGAGTAACTGGTCTTCTGACACAATTTGGCATGTTTAGCAGCTGAATCATAACTGATCATGTGTGTATTCCTTTTTCCAGAGACCTTCAGAGCTCCAATCTTAATTCTCCCAGCCCCTCTTGTAACATTTCCTCTAAATGCATGTACAGTGACTACAGGGTCTATTTGTGCTGTCCTGGAGAGCACACAGCAGCTCTAAGCTCAAGACACCTTTCACAGCAGCACTGAGTACTGTGCTTTGTGTACAGCTCCTGAGGCAGAACTGATCACTTGTAGCACATACAAGTCAACAGCCACTCTGGCTTTTGTAGCAAACTAAAAGAGCAAAAGGCTCGGTTAACAGCAAGATCAAAATACTGTAAAATTGGAGAGCATGTTAACTTCATTATCTTTGATCTTCCTCCCAAGAGTACAGGTGTTATGTTCTGTGTTAGCAGCAGGGAAGCTGAGGTGCTCACTGCAGTCACACAAACACATTGACAATAACCTGAATTCCTGGAGGACACTGTGTCCAACCCAGAGCACAGAACATCACAGAAGTGTAACTGCACTAGCCCCCTCATCACAAGACCAGGGTACCAATTCTACTGACTACCTTTATGTAACATGTAAGCTACTTAAACCTTTTAAAGCCTCAGGCTTTTCATACTGCCACAGTAAATTAAATTATACCTGAAGCACTTGTACACTTCTTTTATGCAGCAGATAGACTTACAATAGAGTAAAAAAGCCCAAACTGAAACAAGTGTGTTCCTATTCTATTGTACAGCTTCCCAGCTAGTACACCTCTCTTGTAGTTCTTGTATTTTTTAGTCTCAGGTTGTATTTCCCCACTTTCTCACTTCTTTAATCATTATTTCCACTAGGTTCTTGTCACATTAAAACAAAATCTTTCAGGGAAAGGGATAAACTCCCAGCAGATTCTACACCAATATTAAGATCCTTAAAGCTCCAGTAACAATTAAGTTCCTAGATCAACTGTCTGAAAATGAAATGGAGCTGCCTTTCAAGCAGCAGCAGGAACACACATGCAACATTCAAGTAAACTGGGAAAATTGCAATGATTGCAGTTTTTCTTTTTCTTCATTTCTTCTAGTGCAAGAAGAAATGAAGGAAGAAACATTTATGGTCTTCCCAAGCCAAAATAAGACACTTTGTCACTTCACGTTTCTCTGTGGCCAAACACCAATTCCCAGGGTGCTGTGCAGACAAGAACAAAGTGGCAAGAATATACATACCATTTTTCTCATGTATTTGTACTAGCGACTTATAGGACTGCTGTGCTCTTGCTAGATTATATTGATTCTGAAAGGAGAAAAAACTAACATAAAAAACATAGCATCTAGACATGCAAAACTCAAAAACAGTTCTAACAAGGAAATTCTACAGTGGGCTTAAATATAAAGTCCATGCACAATGTTAGAACATTCCTGCCTTTCAAGATTCCCTTCTCAGAGCCAGAAATTCCAAATTCTCACAATTCTGATCCTCCTTCCCTCCCTCCCTTGCCAGTACAAGGATAGTAAAAGCCTACCCCAGCCATCCAATGGCTTTATCCTCATATACTTGTAATTACATAAAAAAAAAATTAATTGCCAATAAAATACTGATATACAGGCACCAGACAATTCAAAATGCATATATATTTGCAATAGCAATTCTGTCATTAAGCATCTGCTATGCAAGTCAGCAAGGAAATGGAAGCCCAGCAGTGATCTGTGTAATTGATAAACACAGCACATTTACCTTATTGGCTCCAAACTGTACTCTGGCTTTTCCTTTGACTAAAGTGGCATTGATCTGCATGATGACTGATTCTATTGAGTAGGCACTGCTCCAGCCCTGGAGGCGGGAAAGGAATATTAACATACAACATGTATATACAATTTGCTTCTTCTACTCACTTGACTGATCTATTTCAGAACGTGTGCTTTGGGATTTTTTTTACTTTAGTTTTAACTCCCTTTCAGTTGGCTTATTTTCCATAGAAAAATCTGTAAAATGATAACAGTCCTAGTACTAAGAACTCGTAAGAAGAATGAAAAGGCTGAATCACATTTCCAAAATACAAACAAAAAAGCTCCACCCTTTCAGCGCTGACAAATTTTCAGCAATGTTACAACAGAAATTACAACTCCTTTTTCCAAGAAGCAGGAAAGAATGATCTCTAATGAAGTCAATTCATTAAGTTTAAGAATTCTGCTCATCTCTGGCATTGCTTTACCACCTTACAGAGCTCACAAGAGCTTCTGCCAGAGCCTGCAAGTAAGTTACTTTGTTCATTTACTTATTTTAAAGAGAAAATCACTTTGTCTACACAAATTATCTCTGACTATAATTGTCTGTATTCCTCACTTCTCCAGAGCTGACTTTAAGCAGTTGAAGAGGCTTCTAGAAAACAAAACGTGTCTTGCTCCCCAGAACCTGCTCTTCACATTGCCTTCCTCAGAAATTCTGAGAGCTCCAAGTTGACATGCTCACATTTCCTGCCTCTTCCTCACAGCTCTTGTAAGCCATCCAAGGCAGAAAATAGGATCTCAAACAAGATCAGCAAGGCAAATCTTGTGGGATTGAGGTTTAGTTCCATCATGTTTCCTTTGGAGTGTGCAATTTATTCCACACAGGGATTCTTCAACTCATGGGAAGCACCTACTTTCATTATTTTTAGGCATGTTTTATTATCCAGATAACAGAGTTCATATTCACCTGTTTAGTGAGAAGTTCCATGCATAATGCACCTCCACCTAGGACATACCTAGAAACAAATATGAAAGAAAATATTCTTGATATCAGCAGTTAGTAAAAAGATGCAAGTGCTCACAGCACTTTAAGCTCTTGCAACCTTATTTGTTCAATTCTTTGTTCATAAAGCTGAAAACCCCTTTAACCAGTAATATATTTGAACTAGTTAGCCATGTTATATTTGGGCAAAGAAAATTAGCACTGTGAGACCAAAAAAAAAGTTGTTTTCTAACTAGACTAAGTTTAAACCACTGACAGCTGGTCTGCACAACTGCAGAGACCATTGAAAAAGGAAAGTTACTTTTTATGGCTACTCTACATATACATAGTACTGATGAGTAGCTAAAAGAAACCAACAAAATTCAATTCTGAAGAAGTTTAACACTATTTTAAACAATGTAGGTGCACTTATAAATAATGTGAGATAATAGATCTTTTCTTGCTCTTCTCCTGTAAAGAGCTTTTTTAAATTTCAGAAACAGTTTATCCATTGTGCTGACTAGGACTCAGCAGAACACCTAAGCATGACAAAACCTGGACTGAGGGAAGAGAATTTACCACTGCCAAAATGTGTTCTCTATGACCAAGACACTAAAACCTCATACATCCATATGACATTCAGAGGAAGATGACCACTGATGATCCTTTTTTCATTCTAAAAAGAAGTCCGAGTACAACCAAATTACAATCTAAGGAATTTTCTGGTCTTTGGGTCTGCTTGTTTAGTTTTGAGATAGCAGCACCCCTCATGAAACCTAATTAACTGCATTAACCATTTGAATTCAAGAAGAATACGTGGCAATCCTAATCAAATCAGAATCAGCACCAGCTATCACAGACTACATTTTCAAATGCAGGTATCATTTCCAGGAGATGCATAAAAGCCTTGGAAGGTGAATTTAATTGTCTCTCCATGGGTGCCACAGACAGCTCTTCAAACATGCTTTAGATGACATTTGGGGCATGTCTTCAAAAGTGTTTTTAGATTAGCATTTGAGGAATTTTTAAACAAAAATTTTATGGCAATGTTTCCAGCCAGAGAGAGACAGTTAAGACTTTACAGCAAACTTAACACAAGGATGAAGACCTGTGCAAAGCACCAACCCAAACCACCCTTCAACAGGAGAAGGAGCAGTGATGTTAACACCCCACAGAGGGCAGTTCTTACACATTATGGCAGGCACAGAGCTTTTCAAGTTGTAACATTTTTACCACAAATGACAATTTCTGCAGGGCAACTGGAACCTACCCTCCTGTGAGCACAGGAGACACCACTCGCACAAAGGGAGGATCAAAAGGGAAGTTATCCTGAAAAGAATAATAAAAAAACAGGTTAAGGAAAATAATGTGACATGGCTTCCCAACCAGAAAGTATTTCAACAGCCTTCTTGGTCAAATCAGATTTGAAGTACTACAGTTTTTCAGTTCTGTAAAAATTCTCTTTCCGTAGTACTGGCTAAAAAGCATTTTTTTTGGAAGCTTCAGTGCCAAACTTAAAAGTTAGCTTTCTTTTATTTCTTCCCTTTTTTTATGCTACAGATCCATTATTACTCAAGTTACAGCTGAGGGTCATTTCAGTCACTTTTTATACCAAGCCTCAAATTTAACAGCAGCTTTTCATCCCACTTACCTTAAAAGAGAAGTTGAGTAAAATGTATTCTACACCTTCTTTTTCTTTTAAGACCTGAAGATCACTATGCAGCGGGCTATCAGGATCAACCCTATAAAAACAGCAGTGGGGAGATCATAGATGAAGTTAATAATTTCATTGCCTCTAAACAGTAATTCCTCTTAAAGACTTCCTTTATGTATTTGTAGATTAAAAATTGTAGTTTAAAGCGAACTGTAGGAAATTCGTGCTCCTTCTACCAAATAAAAGCTTTGCCATGAGATCAGCATGAAAACTTGCTGCAATGTACTACATTCCCAATGCTATCAAGTGTTGCTTAAACACAGCACAAAATAACCTATTTGAAAAGAGCAATTTTAATTCATTTCAGTTGTGTGCAAATAAGAGGGGAGAAAACCAGGAAGATTGTAATTATCTAGTTTGCAGCAAATAGTTAGTGAATCCTTTATGGAATATGTAATTGTAGATACACATCAACTGTTAAAAGTAATCTGCATCAGCAGAAGTACTAAAGCCAGCAGCTTCTGCTCAGCAGAATTTCAACAGCTATTTGTTCCAAAATGCTGGTGGTGCACAGCCTGGCCATTAATTCACACACTACTGGGTTAATCCCACCAAGCTCTGACATCTCATCAGCTTTTAAACAGAAGAGACTAGTCAAAAACACCTGCAGCAAGCCAAAAGCAAAGATGTTAAAGGGACTGAAAAGCCATTAAATCTAATCCTCTGCTACAGCTGGAACCACAAAGTTATTAGATCTCATTTCAGAACTTCTTAGGCAGTTTGTCCCCATCCTACCAGTGTGAAGTTATTTGAGAAAAAAAATCTTCCAGCGCTTAAGAACCTCTCATTTCAAGGCATGGCTTTTCCTGGGCCAGTTCAAAGGGACTTGTTACAGTAACTATACTTGTCCTTCCTCACATGGGCTCTTTCCTCTGACATCTACCCCACAGCTACTCTGCACCCAGTGTATTTGTTTCCAGACAATAAACAAACACAACACTTCTATTCCCTTAGACATTCTGGAAGGCATGTGCTGCATGTACTCCATTTCCTGTTTTCTGAAGGCAGAAAATGAGACCTGTTCACAGCACTTAAACAGAGGTTTTAAATCATTGCACATGGCTTCAGCGCTTGGTTACAGAAGCACTTGATAGGAAAGGTGCCCAATAATGTGACACAGATTTCCCTGATATGTCATTCCTGCCATTTTCAGCCTCAAAACCTTCACATGCCCATGATTACACTAAGAAGGAAACAAAACTATTTCAGCAGCTGGTGACCCAGTTTGTACAAGTCTCACCCCTAGGACAAGACAACAATTCCTACAGGCAGGTCAGCTACTGTGCTGATACAGCCTCTGTCCTTATCCTTATTCCCCAGGACACATCTGAACCCATGGAAGCACTTTCATCCATTGCCAGATGTTGCAGCCATCCAGAATATTTTGGGTAGGCTCTTTCTTTCTTTAGGGTACTGTATAGGAATGACAGAAGATGATCCTCTTACCAGGAATAATTTCACTCTAACACCTCTAGGATTAAAGTTATTGGACTATGGATGTAAGAAGATGAGTTATGTAACTGCTTTTCACTAGGCAATGATGGAAGACAAGGTACATATAATTATATAACTCACATTTATGTGATAGCTGAAAGTTTTGGTCCTATGTGTCTGTTTAACTGTAGAAATAAACAACTAATGATACCCAGTTCTGTTCTTTCCTACATCTTAAATGAAACTAGAAACTGGATTTTCCTGTCATTAAAAACACAAATAAAATCATGCAAAATCTCTTGAAAAAAATTTACATCACTTAAGACAGCATATTTTAGAGCAGTTTTAGAACTGAACAGTAATGACAGTTAATGCAATACACACAGTGTTGCCAGTGAAAAGCAGGTCTGTCTTTTTGCCAGCTCAGTTACTACAGTTCCATCTCTACATTTTTTCTGTTATCAGAATTACAGCCACTGTTTAGTGGCTACAGTTACCATTACTGCTACTACTATTGTAACACACTATTTTATATACTCTGGCTAGAGATACTAATTCATGAAAAGACTCTCTCCAGCAATAGTAAAACAGATTGTTCAGAACATATAAAAACTTTATTAACTTACTTGAGAAGCTTAACATGCCATTCATACAAGCTGTCATTCACCAGTTCCACTGAATATATCCCTGTAGAAATATTAGATGGAATTAATTATGCACTAAAAGTGTAGATAGAACACATAGCAAAAACAGTCCTTGCTTTTAAATATGAATACTGTCAGCAGGTGTAATGGTATGCAATGGGTAGGATACTGATACTGAGGCTGATACACTCTTCCTCCTGTACCAGATGCACTTCTGAGCAACAACAAGGAAAAAGTGTTTTCACTTCTATTAAAAAATTCCACATTAATCCAATTTTTTTCTGATACTTAACCATTTCACCATCAAACCTTCCACAACTACAACTCCAGCTTGCTTATTACTCACTATATTTTATACCCAGTACACTACCAATGTGTTTTTAAGACAATTTACAACAGTGCGAGTGTGCAGCATAGTGTTTCACAGGTTCTCATCATTACAGGCAGACCAGGACAGCACATGGGACAGCATATGCAGTAGAGCCCCAAGAAAAGGAGATACTGCAGTGGATAAGCACATTCCCAACAGCTGACTGAGGAAGGCAGAAAGATGCATCTAAAGAATGGAATGGTCTGTGGGAGCCAGCTGGTGACTTTCAGAGGCCTGTTTGTTTTAAGCATGTTCAACAACAGTTGTGCATTTCACTCCCAGAGAAGGATGGATATTATCTGCCATTTTCTTGTGTATTCAAAGCTTCCTCTCTGCATAAATTCACATGAAGCTCTGGAAAAAACAATAAACCTTTAACCACCCGACAAGATTTAGAGCATGGAATCAGTCATGTACAGAAGTTAAACCTCTTCTTTCACAGAATAATCACACACATAGACTAACCCACTATTATTAAACTCATTACCTGGCCTAATATTTAACAGTATCTTTGCTGCTGACCTAATTGTTTGGAAGCCATATGTAAATCAGGAATCTGCCTAGGATTTCTGAAGGCAATACAACCACCAGATTGCAGTCACCTCATTCTCCCCAAGGAATGGGGGGGTATTAATTTCTGAGTTTCATTATTCTAGCATAAAAATAATCTTGCAGTTGAAACTTATAAGCATAAGTACTTCAAGTACAGATGACATTTCAAGCTGTCCAGACATTTATTTCTAAAGCATTTCAAAACTTTGCACACAAGTTAAAGCACCCATGCTTGCTTCTCCTCACTGAGTGCCACTAACAAGTGAGTACTGCAGCAGAGAGCACAATTTCTAATTCTTCTACCTCTAGAATAACAACGTAGGCCTGAACACATACTCACTGTGCTACTCATGTCCCTTTTAATCAGAAGCTACTTCAGAGACATGACATCTGTTTGAGGATCAAGGAGCTAGTAAGGCCTTCTTCCAATTCCCCAGATCCAATGACACTATTCTCTGAACTGACCTTAGTGTAAGTAACAAACTGTAAGAATTTCAAATTGTGCTGCTCTGATGTAAAACCAAAATAACTGACATTCAGAACTCTGCTCATTGTCAACTCCCATTAATAACAAACTTATTCCATTGCTGTATCCAGAATATTTTCTTCCACCTGCATCCAAAGGGGAATAAAGAACACTCATTACAGACAAGGCATTAAGTTACAGTAATGCTCCTGACACTGTGCTAAACAATGGAAGAGAACAAGAGAACTTCCATCCCTTTGTTCTCTGACTAAGCCTCCAGCCCTACTCCTTCCTCCTTCCATCATCCTGGGCCTCCTGCTCTTGGCCAGAGTCCCTGTCCCAGTCCTTCAACTCCAAGGCCCACATACCTTGCCAGCTTCCCCAACAGGAAGAGATGTACTCTGAAGAGCTGTACTGCACCTAAGCCAGAAGCTGCAGTAGGGCTCTTCAGAGAGACAGGCTCAGCTCAGGACTGAGCCTTAACACCAGTGCAAGACACTCCAGCAGCCTTTCAAGCAGCCAAGAGCTGAGCCAAATAGCATCTGTGTCTCCTCATGAACAGCAGCAGGGGCACCCCGTGTCTCGATACAGACACCACTTACCAACACTATCCAAAGCTGAAGGAGGCCATTGGTTGGGGTTTTCTCAATAATCAAGAGGTGTTACTTGGAAGTAATTTATATGCTTTTTTTTTTTCTTTTGCAATTTTAACAGTAAGAGGAAAAAAGTTCCTCTTTGGTTCCTCTAAAGTCAAAAAGAATTTAACTTATGAATAGCAGTTTTTGAGAAGTCCTTAGTTTAAGAAAGCTATCAAGGTAGGTTCCTCTTGCTCAAATGCAATGTGGGGTTTTTATTACTCAAAGGGGATCAAGTAAAAGAGGTGATCAAGTAAAAAGAAACCCACAGAACCATGAAGCAAGCAAAAATATAAGAAATTACAATGTAGAAAGAAAAACAATTCCTTTCAAAACAAAGGCAATGTCTTATTTAGGGCAACACTGCTATATCAAAAAGTAAATCCATACTGTCTTTGGATAAAAAACAGGGAATTGAAGTCTTTATGAACTATATATGGATAAAACAGATGCTAAAGATATGAAAAGTTTCCATTTAATATCTCCAAATTCTTTGTTTCTTTCTCCTTTCCCAATCCCTTAAATTACATTAAGTCCTTTGTACGTCTCCAATCAGATACATGGAAATGAGAATCTTGCTTTGCAGGACTTGTGGCTCCCATTATCTGAACAGGTTAATGAAACTGTCTAATTCACAACAGAGTATCTTAATTTGCTGGAGTATTTTTTGCTTCTGTCAGCTGGTAAGAAAATTATTTTCTCTTTCTGTAAGGGCAATTCTTCCCCTAGATTTCCCAGGTAGATAAGCAAGTTCACTGTTCTTTTGCTTGAACTCCAGCAGCATTGCTTCATTTGATAAAAGAAATTAATTTCTAAAATAGATACTACCTTGAATGCACACCCTCTATTGAAGCCACTGTCTTAATAGTACATTTTTATAAAACAGTCTAATAGAAAAGAAAGAAAAAAAATTAAAATATTATTGCTACAAGAATTATTCACTTGAGAGCTCCCAGTGTTGTCCTACTGTCAGTCCTAGAAACATGTAATCTCATGCAAACTAAATAAAGTGATCCTTACCCAACTAAAAATCAGGCTTAGCCTTTCTGGCTTATCTTAAAAAGAAATGAAAACAGAGTTAAATTACCTTGCAACAGTTACCAGAACCTGGAAGTTTCACAATGTTTCCCTTTGTGCATTAGTAGGAAGAAATTAAACATAGGGTAAAATGGACCATGGGGCAAATACTCCAAACAAAAATGACATTTAAAAAGCCAATTACCTGCCACAGCCTGTGCACATAGTGACAGTTACCTAACAAAAGGCAGAACCAGGCTATGAAAGCAGGAGATTTGTGTGAAGGAAAAGAACTGAGAACATAAATTCACTCAAGGTCAAAGAATAAATGAAACCATAAGGAATGAATCTAGGTAAGTTTTATAACAAACAGCATCAATTTACTGGGAAAATGTAATAAATGTGTCAGTAGGACGGTGTTTCAAAGCAGAATTGCCATAATCTTTGCAGTGTCAACCTTCACTTGACACTACTTCATTACCATGTTTTAGAGATCAAAATGAGGCATCCAGCTGCAGTATTTTTACATATTCCCAAAGTCAGAAGCTCTAAGTTACTGCACTCACCCTTTAGAACCTCAGTTTTCTCTGAAGTTTAGCAAGATTTGCTCTCCTCACAATTTAAGAGTGTTCTTTCCTACATCAGGACCAGTCTTCTGCAATTTAAGACTTGCTTATTTAAAGCCAAGAAATGGCATTATTAGAGAGCCTAAAGACTCACCTCAAACCACACCTACCCAGAGAGCCCCGGCTGACTCCAGTGGTACCACCACATGACTGAGCACCCCAGTCCTTACAGCCTGGTTTGTTAGGGCCAACCTTAGCTCTAATCACTAAAACAAACCCTGAATGTAAAAACCAGGCAGTAAAGCATCCCCCATGACTTCAAACAGATCTGCTGCTAGCTCTTTACTAGACCCACTAATCCATTCCTTCCCAGGTAGGCGGTGTTTGGAGCACACTGGCAAGCACTCAGTTGTAACAAAACTAAAAGGAGGCTGCATTAGACCAACACTAGGTTGTCTCATTAAATTTATACCCTAGACAATTTACCACTGTTCCCAGCAGTTCCATGCATGAAACAATTGACCTAGAAGTTAAATATGACAAATCAAAACAGGAACCTTATTGTCTCTTCACCTCTTCTTTTACACATGATTAAAATGGCATTACCAGGTGAGATTTAAGTACACTAGAAATAAATACAGGCAGAAGTTCAGAAAAGTAAAAAGAAAGAGTATTTAAGTTTATACTGACTCTCTAATTAGACATTCCTCCTGTTCCCATCCTGGCCTGCACCAGGGTCTCACACTGGCTGCAGTGAAGGAGCTGTCTATTTGGCAGACCTAGAGGAATACAACTAGCCCAAAAGCTGTATCATTTCTATTTCTCATATGATAACACTCAGACAATTCAATTTGCTGAATCCTTTACTCAGCTAGTTTAGCTACAGCTCCTATAAGGAATAAATTATATAGCCATCTACTACCTAATCATTATTCAAACTAATTTAAGATACAAGCTTGTTTTCCACTATAATTCAAACCATTATTCCAAGGAATGTATGTTCTGACTTTTCTCCACAAATAAACTGCTTTATATGTAGTAAGAGTATATATAATGAATCTATCTCTTTTTACATATGTGCTCATACAAACACACAGGTATATATAAACACAGGACAACAAAACACAAAAGTTAGCAGGAACTATTTCCTAAAAGAATTAATTTAAAGTATATTTTAAAAAGGGAAATCTGAGGCATTTTACCTGTTTTATAACTCTGTGATCTATATATATCCCTGAGTTCTTTCATAAGTCGATCTGAAGCCTGAACTGACCCAGAGACTGCACCCTGAAACAAACAAAAGACTCCAAATAAGTGAAAAGCAATATTTACTATTTACATTACAATATTTACAGCTTTACATTACAAAGTTACACTAACTAGAAATTATTAACAATTTCTGTATGAGAATATTTAACATTTCAGAAACATTCTAGTGAGCAAAGTCTACTCCAAAGAAACAAGGCCCTCCCTCTAAAGAAGCACATTAATATATACTACTAAATACTACAGGTGATACAAACTTTTAATCAAGGTACAACAGGTATTTTTCTGTAAAGAAACCTAAATCTCTGGCATTTTAATTTAATTTCCAAGATGGATGCACAGTACATCTTAAGAGTGAAATATTTAATTTTACATTCTGCTTTTACACACTGTGAGGAAGAGTAAGCCTAATCCTAAGCTTCTACACATAAGGTTTTATTGCCTTCTCAGAGGTATATTTTTATCTGGTCATTGAAAAAGGCACAGGAGGTGGGAAGTATCCACTCTAGAACAGCAGCTTGCTGAGGAATAAGACCAACCAGTGAATTTAGCAAACATGGAACAAAAGCAGTATTTATTGCAATTGAGTGAAAGAAGATCAACATCTACACAGGGGAAGACAAAAGTAAGTAAACCTTAAAATACCAAATTATTTCTTGTGATTGTCCATAGTTCTTGTGATTTATGCAACCAGAGCAAAAATCCCTTCTGTTCCTTAAGAGCTCAGCTCTGTACTGCTCAGCAGCTCAAAGTGAGAGAGAAACTTAGAACACAATTTACTTATAAGTTATGTGATTACTCTGCTTATATATCCCACCCAAAATACCACTTCAGGCTCAAGAGTTTTGAAAAATAGACTGATAAAAGTTAGCCTTATAAGATTTAAAATACAGAATAGGAACAAATGAGCTAAGGCAGTTACCACCCCAAACCCTGACCCTGTGACACCTGGACTTTCACCATCAGTCTGTTTCCCAAGGGTAGATTATCCCATTGGACCTTTGCAATTCCCTTCTGCTCCTGTTCTTCAGTCACTGCCACTGAAATACAGGCTAACATATGGAGCTCATAAGCATGGCTGGGGGGAAGAAACCATGACAAAAAAAAATAAAATTGCCCCCACTACCAAATAAAAAAGACCAACCTAGAATAATTCAGCCTGTCTGTATCAAGAATTGAATGATTAAGTTGATGAGGCTGCTTTTTTACTAAAAAAATTCAAAGATACTTATTTCTTCAGTTTCCTTCCAGACATTATGAACACCTATAAACACATCCTTTTTGGACAGAAGCATCAGAAAAGTATGCCTGGAAGAATATGAAGCAGCTGTGACCATTACCTAATACCTAAAACATCATCCCCGTTTGCCTGAAGTCCACAGTGATGTTTTATATTCCACAAGGTCTTAATTGTCTTAATTCTTAATAAAAATTGAGTATCAGTAACAGTTACTTGATGGTAAAGCCTTCACATAGTTCTCTGCCTTCTCTATCCAGTATCAAATAATACTCTTAGCTTCACACTAGATTTGCAGATTTTTCTTTTAAGGCTATTCATTTTCATACACCTTTGGATTTAATTATGCAGATTTCTGAAATTCCTTTAGTTTTTCTTAACAGACCGGTATGAAGGATGAACCTTGTAATTAAACATGCAAATAACAGACAACTCCTTTCATCTGATTAAACAAAAGCTACATAAAGACAGGGTTTCACACAAGTAATTTCTTCATTTACTACCCCCCCCTCTCTACAGAGCAGTATTAGACAAAGAAGGGATTTCTCAAACACCAAGTAAATGAAATTTTATGGAAAATGGTTGTTTATACACAATATCTGCATATTACTACTATTTATGTCCACTATTTACAGATTAGCTGAAAAAGAAGCATTACACTTAACCAGTTAAAACATTGTTAACCACCATTCTTTGTATAGCTGCTGTACTTTGTGAGTGTTAAGATTGAGACTCATCAGTTTGAGTCTGGAGGAAAGAGGTTTCCAGAGACAAGTGTCAAGACTTCTGAGCAGAGCTGTGCAGATCTTTGCCCCTTCCACTGTATTTCTTACTGAAAGAAGGAATTTTCTTACACTTTCCACAAATTGTCAACCTATAAATATAGGCATTTTAAGAACAAGTTAGATGGTCAAAGACATCCTGTGGAAAACTACCTCTCTCACTGCATCTCTATTTCCATCCAATTAAACTACTGAATTTCTTTCCATAATGTTGGAAGTTCATCTTGGCAAATGAAAATGTAAGTATCTTCTGTACTGGAGACATTTAAAAATCAAAGCTTAACAAACCTACATCCCCCTGAGTGCTATTATAGCTACTGATACATAAGGTGATATTAAAGAAGTTAGTTGTAGTGTGTGTAAGCAAGCCTCAACACACTTTGTCTCTAACAGTTTTTCACCCTTTTTTCCCTAGGAGTTTCTGGTTGAGCTGCCCATTCCTTAAATAGCAGCACTAAATATAGTTACACTTGCTACTCTAAAGAATCAATGGACTGCAAACCAGTAATCTACAATCAGGAGAAAGAGGATAGCAAGCTTAACTTAAGAAGTTTAGCACAAGAGCTTATTTTATGTGCTCTGAACTACCCTTGGAGGAACCTGAAGGAGGTAACAGCTAAACCTGCTGGTAAGCCTAATGCCAAACACCACTGCTCTGAAGCACGTCTCCATTCTGGTGTCCCCTGTGGGTTTTGGAGCCACTGTAAAGAGCAGTTTAGAAGAGAGCACAACTTGCATCCCACTACTGCATGATACAGAGCATTGAGGTCAGTTTTGACTACAGTGATACTAAAATTAAAAACTTTTTCCATAACTCACTACACACAAGTGATAGTTTCAAAGACTGAACTCAGATATAAATAACAGTATCCTTCTGGAAAAGTGGGACTTGACACTCCAAGGGAGATAAAGTTCCCATTTCTCAAATTGTGGCAATAAGATTTATAGTTGCAACTGCCTCAGACGTAAGTGGTCAATCATGGGATCTGTCACATGGGGCTGATGCCAAGAGCAGAAAGGCAAAGCCATTTCATCTCAAGCAATTAAATGAGCAGCCAGACCAGACCCAAGTGACTTTCTTTTTCCCTAATAAATAATCAAATAGGCAAAAAAGTCTCACTTAATCGTGCTGTCCTGTACTAGCATATTTTGTGTCTCTCCAGAACAATAAGCAGGTAAGCTGGAGAAATCCCTGTTACAAGAGGCAAACATCTTTGTTGACAACATGCCAGTTGCTGAGAGCTGCAAGTAACAAAAATACCTGATGTAGGAATTCTCACATCCAAAACCGTCGGACATGAAAAATATTCACGAGATGCATCACTACAAGCCTGCAACGTTCTCAGACTCTTCCCTCCAAGGACAAGGCGCTGCTGGAAACATGAAACTCGTGCTGCAGTCAGACCAGCACTTGCCATTGCCCTGCTGTACAAAGGGCACAGAGACATCAGGGGGTTCTCTTCCCCTTCCTACCCTCAAAATGCACCCACAGCCTGTTCTCCCTGCCAAGTTACAGGGGATAAGGAGGTGCAGCTCACTGCAGTTTTATATCCAAAGAGCTGATTGTTTTCTTTCTGATCAGAAAAACACTGAACACATCCAAACACTACAGGAAGCCTCCTCACTCAATATATTTCAGAATATTTAGTCACAAGACTAAAAATTACCTGCTGAAATAAACCAAGAAAACTTGTCCAAGATAATAAACTGAAATATAAAATGACCCCAAAAGAGCTGAAGAACACAAGTTCCATTGTCACTGAACTTGCTCCATATTTGTGCAGAAGCACATTCATTCCTAGAAGTTAAAGTAGGTTCATACCTCCTTCAAGGATTAGGAGACTAAAAATAAAAATGACACCTTACATTTCATAAAATCTGAAGATGAAAGAGACATTGGAGACTTCTAAAGGGAAGTGCTTAAATTCCTCAGTATGAAACAGGAAAAGCTAATAGCATTATCTAAAAAAGAAAGGCATTAATCTCTAAAATGACTATGTGGGGAGAGACCTCTGAAAAGCAAGCAGCAGCAAGTTGATAAATATTTGAAGTTAATGATTCCAGTTCAAAGACCTTTTTTAACTCCAGGTATGCAAGTGGTTCTTTAGAGTTATTACAATGTTAAGAGAAGGATTAATTCTTGCTCCAAGTTACATACTGTACCACAAGCCAAATTTATTTCCTGATGCCAGCAAGAAGAATAGGATTAAGAATACTGCCAAGGACAGAACTCATTTACAAAATTAGTAAATATACCTTCTTAACTTGTACAACACACATAAACCCTAAAAACTCCTATAACAACATCCTGAGAAGCAGAAAATTGTCTTTAACTTATCAGGAATAAATGAGTAGGGTGCATGCACTGCTTTCCCATGAACAAGCCTTGAGTGTGATCTGTAACTCCAGCCTGCAGTGCAGCCAAGGGGAGAGAGGACAGCCCATGGACTTGGGCCAAAGAACATGGAAAGGAACTGCAAAGTCTTCTGGCTGCACTGGGCACCAGTCACAGCACTGTATTATGCTGCATATTCCCCTTTCCAACAAGCATGTCAATAGCATGGATTTGTTTTACTGGCCTCTGCTGAGGAAACAAAGTATCCCAAAAAGCTGCATGGCTCCCATGAAAAAACAGACTAGGTTTAGCCATGCATTTAGGTTTGAGAAACTCCTACCATCCTCTAAGAAACCCAGCTATGAGGGCTGCACAGACTTAAATTTTGCTTTGTGCTAGGACACTCAGCAAACTTCTGCTCTTTTAGAGCATAGTTAACACATTGTATTAGAAGCCCCCTGTTTTGGCAGCATGGAGGACCAATAAACTTGGTCCTGGTGCTACTGGGTTAGCTCTTTCCTAGGTCAGTAGCACAGCTATAGATTTTGGTTCTCCAGCACCTAAGAGTAAACCCTCGCAAGTCCTTGGAGAAATTATTTCAGCAGCACAGCTATTTCTGGTGACCCACAAAAATACCATAGTTCCTCAGCAGTAACTGAATACCCTGTTCCCTGTATTCAGCTGACCTTGTTTATGCACCAGCATCAACGAGAGTGTCTTGGCATGAGAAACAGCCATTATGTAAGTTGAATCTGCTGTTGTCAAACAGAAAACCAGCAGTGTTCATTTCAGCTCCACTAAACGTGGAGGGAAAAAGCAAAAGGAAAGGCAGTATTTGCCAAATGGGAAAAGAACAGATGAAAGAAAATCTGCAGTTTTAAGAGGCTTTTTGCATCAAAGTAGAATGCTGACACTACAAAAACCTTTTTTCTGTTCTACCAAATTTTCGATGATTGTAAAGCAGGCCATGCGTTTCAGGCTGGGAGAGGATATCTTCTCTTTAACAGTTAAAGACTCTTTACTATTAGGATTGAGTTATACACACTGAAACATACAAAACCTCACTAGGCATCTTAAATTGTGAACATTCAAGTCTAAACAAAACCAGAAAGTGAGTGTTGTGTTTATGGTTAGTCAAGTCTCAAAACCAGACTTGACTATACAGCCAAAGCAATTTGGGACCTTACATTTACCTGCTTTTAAACCCTGAAATGCCAATCAGGTTTGGGTGTTAAAATTTTAAAATCCTTTGGATGAAGTAGATCATAAACAGAAGTAATTAATTTCATGTTTTACACATTTTTAAGGCTCTACAAAACAAAAGCTTTGATTTCTTTGGGAGTCAGGGTAAATAAAATTAAGATTGTATGACATTATCACACCCTCTTGCATGCACCTTTGAGAAATAGAAGCCTCTCTGGAACCTAGCACTTGGGACAGAACACTTCTGGAGTTCTAAGCCTCTGGAGAACAAGCACTTTTTCTACAACTGCCTGCTGGCAAGATCACTCAGAAAACTGACAACAAAGCTGCAGAGCTGCTGAAGGCCCTTACTTTACACATGGCAATAAAAAAACAGCACAACAATCCACCACCCTTCAGTAATTTCCAGGTGGAACAGCTATTATTGAAAAACTCAAGCATAAAATGGATTTAAACCACAGGTTTACCCAATTTTTTAGTCACCCATAACTTCTAATACAGGCAATTTTAATTATGGCTTTAGTTTTTTTACTTTAATAAGGGTTCAGCAACAAAAGTCACACTCATAGCCTAGATGCATTCTGCTGATTCTGCAAGGAGAACTAATGTTTGTGACAATGTACCAAGCAAGAAACAGAGGGACAACTGTTTGCATGGATACCTCTGGATATGAGCAATTAAACCATCAGGGACAGGTTAGGTGCATAGCAGTGGGCTTTCTTTGCTGAAAAAAAATTCTATTTTAAAGTCAGAAGTATTGCAAAGAAGAAGCATGGAATCATTAACTCACATTTAAGTGATCTTGCCTTTGATTTTTTCTGATTTTTTCTAAGATTGCAAGGTTCTCTTTTTCAATGCCTTCATCCTCAGATTTCTTCCCATCAACTGGTTCCTCCTCCTTCATATCATAGTGATCCAGATCTTCAATGTCCTACAGGAGAGAGAGAAGGTAATTGTAAATAACTGTACTGTGCTCTTCATTCAATGAAACCCTCTCCAAGGACATGTTGGATATAGTCACACAGTGCACTTCATAATACAAATTCACAATATATTTCTGGTCACAGAAACAAGCACAACCTCTGCAAGAAGATGGGATTGTAGAGAATTAGCCCACTCAAGTAGATAGCAAACCAGACTAGAGAATTCAAAAGTACCCCAAGTTAGGGAGACTCTAAGATGTTTCTAAAAGCAGACTCTTTTGCAATTAGAACCTCAGCTATACTACACTTCTCGCAAGCAGTGATTAACATACCTGACAGGGCTACAGCAAGCCTTCAAGAAAGTTAAATATTAGAAAACTATGTGTACTTTATTCAAGGTTAACATTTCAGACAAAGATTAGATGCAGTAATTTTTGAATCAGGACATAAAATTCTGTGGTCAAGCATTCTGATCACACAAGCCAACAGTTCAGTTCTATGTTCTAGGCCAAGGCACTAAAACCTATCCACTCTGTATGCTGAGATGGGGTTATCTTGTTGTAGAGGAGCACTCTGAGCTTCAGACAATCACCTAAATGTGACTCAAATGCTGTCTGTGGAGAGGAGGGGAAGCATGTAAATACCTTAGCATGAAAAAGGAAGCATTACAGCAGCCACACCAGCAGGCTTTGGTTACACAACTACCAGATATACTCCAGTATGCAGAGCTCTGCCACACCTGGGTGCTAGGAATAAGGTGTGGTGATTGGCTCGTGCAAATGTGGAGGAGTTATTAAGTATGGTAGGAAGAAGTTTTGTTAAGGTTTGTGGTTCTTTTGACATGTACTTCTGTGGTTCCAATATGGTGTTGAACGCTCTCTGTTCCCCCCTCAGTGCTCTCCTCTCCCTTTTGTGGTTACTGCCTGGCAGCTCTGGTCAAAGGGCTGTCAAAGCACAGAGGAGGACGTACACTTGCCCCTTGCAAGAGGTGGCAGGGAGTGGGGGACACTGAGTGCTGGGAGGCTTGGCAGGCCAACATCTCACCACCAGGCAAGATGTGAGAGGGGCTCCACAAATAAAAGGCATGGAGCACTGACTGACAGACCTTGAGAGGAACCAAATCTATACATATGGGCAAAGCCACGGACAGTGAGAGGCGCTGGAAAGACATATAAGGACTGCTCTTAATGAATCTTAATGAGGGTGAGACAACCATGAGTGTATAAAAGGCAGCGACACCATTTTGTGGGTGAGCCTCTGGTGAGCAGAAGGAGTTTCACTACACCCCCAGCGCTGCCCTCCACCTTTGCTTTGTAATTTTAACATACTAATTAAATTTAATTTACTCATTCCCACCCAGGGTCTGAGTCGTTTATAACATGGGGCTGCTCTCTATGCACCATCTGTTTGCATGGCAGGAAAACTCAAATTTAAGCATGCTCTATGTAACAAGAAACACACCTGGTACATTTGATAACAGTTTCCTTCAGCTGTAACAGACTCTAGATTGTGTATTCTTCAAAATGCTCATGTTTCTCCAATGACAGAGCCAAGGAATTGTACACTGCTTCTGCATTTAGAACTAGAACTAAATTACAGGTTGCAGATATCACTGCCACACAGAATGCCCCCTGACAGCTGATAAATAAAGGGAGACCATTCCTTTTTTGTACAAAAAACAATGCAAAAGGTTACTCTAGCAGTCTGCAAGCAACCAGAGCCTTGCAGCAGCAGGATATGGGACACATCATCTTTGCAGAAACACCTGCTCCAGCAAACATAGTTTGGATCAAGCTAGATATGGTTTAAGAAAGGCTGCTTCAAATTAATTTAAGAATTTGGTAACATTTAGATCTTTTCTACAGGTAGATGATTTATTCAGAGAGAGTTATCATTCTTCCTACACCTTCATTAAAAAAAAATCTAAATCTGAAGTAGTCAGAACAGTTCTACTATAATAAAGCAACTTATGGTAGTATAGAAAGCAAGCACCTTGGAGCTATTCTAACACGTAGCAGAAACAAGCAAAAAGGGTGATTCTTACAACTAAAAAGCTCATTAAAGAGAGCACCATGTTGCCAGAAATGGACACAAAAATTTCATGTGTCTGTTTTGATGTCCTTCCATTTCTTTCAATTTATTACAGTCAAAACCTAGCTCACCCATGTAATGAATCAGCAAACGGATTTACTCTTAGCCAGCCTGCTTCAATTTAGGAGGCACTTCCAACTGTATCAGAGCCAGTTCACATGCTGCTTGAAATAGGAGTTAACAATGCAAAAACTTACTGATTTGGCACACAATGTTATGTATTGTTTGACTAAAGCACAAACAGATGTCCAATTCTCTGTATCCAACCTCACAGCTGAGATCTAGGTTTAAGAAGAAAATTTCACTAGTTTTCTGGTTGAAGGGAAAGCTGACATTCAGGTAAACATCCAAATTTTAATTATCTTTACTGCATAACTCCAGGGAGGTCACATTTTACAATAATGGTTTAATTATTGGTCAGAAATCGCAGAGCAAAATGCCAAAATTCTGCTAGATTAGGACAACAATCTCATATATAGACATACTTCACCCATATCTTCTTCTTCCTCCTCCTCTGATGTAACTTCTTCTGTTGTTCCATTCTGCAATACAACAATGAAGGTTCTACATAAATTCTGTATATGCTTCTTGCCTTCAAAATCAGCAAGTCTACTCTCAAAGAGAAGCAGTAAATGCAAAAGTTACATGTTAAACTTCAGTCCCTTCAAAATTCTCAATTTTTCAAGTGCACAAGAAGTAAGCGTCCCTACCCAAAGTAAAATGTGGCCTTGATATCCCATGTCTCTGCAAGGGATTGAAGAAGGAAAACAACACTAGTTCATCCAGGTGCACACTGTGAAACACATACTCTTCAACAAAGAGCCAGATATTTCAGAAAAAGTAAGTATGGGAAGCACTCCAAGTACACAGAGATTGGCTTTAGTATTTAAGAGCAAATTAAACTTGACAGCACTGGTATCACATACACACCTTTCAGTGATACTTCAAAGGGAATTGTGTAATATTATCACACCATTATTAAATTGATTTTGCAAACAAAATTCAGATTGAAGACACCATAATGCAAAAGTGCATCATATCAGCTCTGGTTTACACAAGGTTTAATCATTCCCATTATCTTGCTTCTTGGAGTTAAAAAAAAAATGCCTTCATTGGCATAAGAAGGTGCCCATAGCTTTAAATTTACCTGTCCAGCTGGCAATGGCTGATCTAACATTTCAACATCTGGATGCTGAGGAAGATTATATAATCTGCAGAGGTCACATATTAATCGCTTCAGCTGCTGAAGAAGCTATAAAAAACAAGAAAATATGGATATGTTTATTTAAACCAAAGCACAGAGATATATTCTGAATTTTCTTCACACATTGATAATGAACTTAAGTGTACAGCATTTGAATCTGCTCAGGCTGGAATAAAATTTCCTCTGTAATATTTGTAGTAAAGTCCTCACATTAGAAGCTCAAGGATATGGCAAGTTAATGATGACTTTCATTCATCTTCCTACATCTAAGAAGAAAGCCATGAGCAGAAAAATAATTTGCCCTGACAGTATCATCCATTCCAAATACAGGTGTCTGAGCTACACATCACTACGGAATAAGCAAATGGTCACATTCCATGAGACAAAACGGTCCATTCCCATTTTCCAGCTTAAATAACCACACCTTCAAAAAACTTGCCAAGGAGGAACAGTGTTTTGTAAGGAACAGTATGGAAAAATAGAGGTTTTCCATATCCTGAATTCTTTTACAAGGCACACCAGCCAGGCAGTAGAAACAAGACAAACCCTGTCAAAGTCCCAGGAGCCAGGCAGGCTTTGAACTGCAGCCCAGGCACTCTGCTTGCTGTATCTTGTGTCAGGGTGAGGCACAATCAGTTACTATCTATGACTTGTGTTTCCAACCTGCAGCATTCCATTGACTGTGCTCTGTTAACTGCAAACTATGCAACACCTCACACTTGCTAATGCAATCCAGGAAAAAGAATTTACTTCTGCAGAAACAAACCTTAAGTTTGGTCTTTGATCACCACACTAATTAAGTTGATTTCTACAGCTGTTCACTTTCTCTAGGAGGCAACTCAGACTCATAGTTAAGGCCAAGACATTTAAGACTATACTACTGCATTTCCTAACTTTCCAAGGTTACACATTTCCACAGCTATGTCAGGAAAACAAAAAAAGGACTGCAAAATCCATTTGTAAAAGGGTCAACACCTCATTATTTGCAAAATAATTCCCTAGGTGAAGCTTGCAGAAATTATACATCCATTTAAGGACTTTTCTTTCAGCTATCAAGGAGAATTTGTCTTGCCAATTGTTGAAGGCAGTGCGCAAGACAGTCATTTCTGCACACACACTCCAAAATACACATCTAAAACCTTGCTATTGGCCAGTTAAATGCTCTCACCTTACCCCACTGGAAGTGAAAAATTCAGTCTTTCCAGGGTTAAGAGCTCATTTCCAAGCCCAAATCACTAACAGTGATAGGCAAATGTTGCCCTTATGCTATCTAAAAGCTTCAGTGCTTTTCCCTTCTACAGCAGAATTCCACATTGTGTTTCATAGGAATGCTATTTATCTGAGGCCATGAACTGAGATACCAGCCTGCATTACAACACTATCACACCATGTCTGCTGCTTCTGCATCATTCACGAGAGTCAACCCAACCCAAAAATAAAGCAGATAATCAACCTAACTTAAAAATAAAGCTGATATCACCAAAAGGACTGGGACACCAGCACCACGTTTCTTAGGAATATATACATGAGACATGATAGGTTTTGGCAAAAACCCTTCTATTCTGTAACAATCACATGTCTCATCAGCATTAAGACTCTACACTTCTTTGAAGCTTCCTGGGTACCTGGAACATCAGGAAATCTTTTTAGCAGACAGCAATCAGGTTAATCAATCAATAAGTTAGATGCCAGATAGAATCAGAGGTCTTAGAACTATTATTTTCAGTATGTGCAAGATGCTTAAAGTTGCACTGCTACACATTTTGTTGATAAACTTTTTCTCTGCACGAACACTGCCTCATGGAGAGCTGGAGCACAAACCATACAATCCCAGGAGCTGTAATTCTTCTCACAGAGGCAATAATTTGTTCACATCTTCTGTGAATCATACAAAAAATAAATCCAAGCAGTGAGGGAAGACTGCCATCATTGGCATTTGCTGGTCAATTAGCACTGGCCTTGGAAAAGCAGATAAACACAGTATTAGATGTGCCTTGACAGAGAGAGAATAAGGGCTGGAGAGTTAAGAACTGCTTGCTGCCCTGCTTCCTTCACTCCCTCCCCCTTCCTCCCCACAAAATGTCCTGTCAGCTGAACTGAAATTCAGAAGGGATTTTTGCAGCCAGGGCCTAATACACTGTAAGCTTCCCTTACTTCCAAGCACAGCACCACAAGCAAGGAACAGCAGCACCCTCAAAATAACAAGGTGCTGGCACAGCCTGGGCTGAGTTACAGCTGTGCCTGGGGAGGGCCTCCAGCAGCTTTTCACCTTCTCATTTCCACTGCACCACAGATCACACTACTATGTGGCAACTTATCAGCTTTGTGGCAGATCAATTCCTGGTGTGCTTCAGCACACCAGCACCATTTGATCATGAAGGGGGAGGCAAAGACCTGCTGAGAGCAGGGATCCCCTTCCTTGGCAGGATTCTACATTGCAGGGGCAGCTTAATGCAGCTCATACTGCAGTTCATTTTTATAGATCAGCAGCTTATTTAAAATCAGTGTCTACAATTTGCAAAGGTGGTGGCAGAGCAAGAAGCTGATCCTGTCTGTACAACCCTCTCACCCTTCTTCATTATTGCTACATTTTTCCTCCACAGGAATTGATTTAATACCATTGATCTTTCTGCCATGGATCACCATCACTGTTATCCTTTATTCTCTGCTCATCTGTATGAAAAATCACAGGATAATTTCAGCTGAAAGGCATATCTGGAAGACACCTGATCCAGCCCTGTGCTCTAAGCAGGGCCTGGCATGGTTTGGTATGTGTTGGTATGTACACAAACAGATTATCAAAAGGGAGTGCAGATTTCTGTCATGTATTAATAATTTAAATGTATTTCCAGGGTAACTCCACAGGCTTAACTAATGTAAAATGAATGCTTAACACACACTTGGAGGCCACTGAAGAAAAGTGAGCTATCAGTACACCAGTAGGAATATAAACTGCCTAAAGCACAAAGTAAACAGCAACTAGAACTCATAACCCACAGGGTAAAGGAGCAATGTGAAGAGCCTGCAGAATGGAAACCCTCAAATCATCAAGTACATTAATAAATTTGTTATATTTATTATAATTAATAGCAAAATAACAAAAATTACACCATTAGAATACACACCCTCTATAATTTTTAATGCTTCAGGAGTTCTGAGAAGTTGGTGGTTCTTTTGGACACCATAATGCTGGTTTAGAACATGAGCACCTCTTGGAATTTTGCTTCCTATCTTAACATCCTGTACATGTGAAAACAGTTTAGAACAATTTTTTTCTGAAACCCAGCCTACACTAGGAAGCTTTTTTAATGTATGAAGAGATCTTTCTAATGCAGTATGAAAGCATTAACAATTTTAGGATACCTTTGATGAGATTAATATCCTGCTGGCTTCACTATGAAATGCCCCGTTTCCTGATTCCCAAGAAAAATGAATTTAAGAAGTACAGTTTAAGCATGGAAATAATTATTCTATGTGTCTCTACATATATCCACAATATCTGTATAAAAATAAATGCATCAATAAGTCTTAGTATACCACTGAGAAAGTGCTGAATAAAGATACAAATGGAAACAGATGGAAGTAATAATTGTCACTTGGAGTGTGCCCACTACTTGGTTATCAGGTAACAGTGACAGTACCTCACCTGGCCTCCTCCACAACCAGCAGCCTCAGGCAGTTTCAAAATAAAGCAAAGCTGATTTCTGCATTTTGTCTCTGCAACTCCCAGTGCAGAAATAGGTGCTGCCACACAGAGTTTGCAAGAGTCAAAGTTCTTCCCTGAAATGCCTCCATGCAGGACTTAATCTATAATATTAACACAGAAGCAGAGTACTTCAAGAGAGCAGTTTATCCAAGCTGTAAACATACTTATGCCAGGAATTGTGTATTAACTTTTGACATCTTCCAGGCAAGTTTAAGGTCGAGAGTCTAAGAATTAAAGCTGACTCTCTCAATTTAAGCACATTTCCCTATTCTCTTCAAAAAGCAATCCTCCAAAATTGTGTAGAGCTATACTTAACATTTCATGAAATGACATTTGAGGCTTCAGACTTGCATCCTGTAACTTCCATAATATTAAACAGAAAAAGGGAATCACAGTAAGATCTCTCTTTTGCACAGCACAGCCACTAGAAGGCAGATGGCAGTTTCATACTCAGGAAGTCTAAAGTTTGGCTGATTTTTCAGAAGGAAATTCAGGAGACACTAGGGGCTAAAAACTCTGTAGCCTCATCTATTGACTAAAACTTGTCCAAAATTGACAACCAAGCAGCTAAGCTGTCCAAACCTGATGATATCCATGCTGATCACATTGTTAATAACCTTCCAACATTTTCAGTGTTTTGAAAAGTTTTCATAGCAAAAGTAGCATGGCTGGTGCAAGGTAACTAACACAGTTTCAGATCCACAGAAGATTTTCCAGGAAACACGTGTATGATTTCAACATCAGAAACCAGTTTTTGTTTTACCATGTCAAACAACAAGGCTTCCACAGGTCAAACATTTATGCCTGAAGAGCATGTTCTTCAGTTTCCCAACAGCTGACACCTGTCCCATGCTACAAAGCAGGTAGAAAGGGCAGTGGCACACCAAAGCCTAAACCAGGGTACATGTGCTAGCACTGCTTTTAGCACAGCTGAGCTCCTGGAAGAGTCAAATGCCTTTTCCCATTCAAAATTTGACTGCTCCAGTAACCTTGAGTTTAGACCAATATGGCACTGATGATCTTTCACCTGCAGTAAATTAAAAGAAAGCTAATTTGAAACATTCTAGATGATTTTAAATTAAACAAAGTGAATTTTTATGAGACTGTGATAAATTAGAAGCATTTGGATTTTTTATCCCTTCCTACTCTGCTGCAGAAGTCTGTGTGAGCTGCTCCATGCCATTGAAAGGGAGAGTGTTCCATGGGGAAGAGTTATAGGGAAAAAAAACCCCCACAATTAAGAAGTTTCAAGTCATGTCTTTTGAGCAAAACAAGCAGTCAGATTTTGTACTGCAAGTATTTGTCTCCTCAGCCACTCCCATCTGCCTTCACCTTGGCATAGCACGATGCAGGGTGGATTCCTGAGAAACCAATGGGCCATCCCAGGTGTCTATTACATCAACTCATCAGCTTTTACATGGGCAAGTACAATCTTGATAACAGAAGCTGTTTTCTTACCAGCTACATAAGCAGTCTGTGTGCATATGCAACTCAGCACAGCAAGTCCCATGCATGTACACAACAAAGCTTTCCAGCCTCTTGCAGGCAATTGCACACAGGAAATATCTTGTCCAGAACCTTTAGGCTGAATATCAAGCCACACCAGCTTCAAGCTACACAATCTTCTGAAAAGTGTCTTAAAGCGAAAAAGCTCATTTGGCCAGATTGTCTGCTAGTGCCCCTTTCTGTGTCTTTCCAGACAAAGACTAAGATTTATAATACTCTCCTGAATGTAGTTCAGTCTAAATTTTAGACTGAAATAGAAAATACAGATATGTACACCTTGCACAGTCAAATCCAGCAAAATTCATGAAAACACTAATGTTCCTCTACAATTGTTTTTAATTATGGCAAGGCCCACAATGACTCACTTTTATTAGTTTCCTAATTATTTCTGCTAGAAATCAAATGCATCCTAAACTATCTTCAGAAAGACGCTTGTGCATTTTTATTTAAAGCTGAGTATCCTAGATGAATATTATCCCAGTAAACCTGACAAGTAGGTTTTCCTAAGAAAGAACATTCCAAATTTTTCCCAAACCAGACAAATACTAAGCACATAATCCATACAATAAGCAGTATTCTGCAGACTGATTTGTTTTGTATGCATCCCATTCATGTCCACCAAAATAAACACAAAATGCTAGTATCATCTGTTAATAAAGATTACCTGAGTTTGTCAGCAGGTTGCAATACTCCTTTTTGTGGCACAAACTGCATTTGTACTTAAATTTATTTCCAAGCATTGTTTAAGGACAGTTTCCTACACAGAATAGGAAGTTAATTTTTGTATTCATGTGCCCTTCCCTTGAGCTCCCATTGGCACATGAAAAGGGTATTTAAGTAAGATATAATGCTTGAGTTTTCTGAAATCCAAAACCATCAGAATCTGTATACAAAGATTTCCTTTAAGTAGCAATTGTCCAAAGTTGCAACACTGCTAAGGAACATCTTCATGAACCAGAAGCTATCAGGCCAAGTTTCCTTTGAAAGAAGGAAAGAATTCAAGAAACCAAGAATTCTTGGTATTATTGTCATGTTTTGGAGACTACACATTCTCAAGAGTACAAAGTTTTGCCTCTGGAATTGACTTCTGTGCAAAGAAAACTCTACAACACCTGTTTTATTCAGCAGTTTTAATATTTTTACCCACTTTGCTGTTTCATTATTTTCAGAAAACTTCACACTGTAATTACTGGGGTTGAAACTTTACTTCAATGCTTACTCTCTAGAAGAAGGTATCTTCTTCTTGCCTCAAATCTTTTGGATTACTTTTAGCTCATAAGTTTTCTTGGAAGAGAAAGTTGTGTTTACAAAATCCCCCAAACAACCCTAAAACTGAACTAGTTGACCTATACTTGTTAATGTGACAAAGTCAAGTAAACACACAAGGCCAAGTAAATGCCCAAAATAACAAAAATACTTCACTCACCAGAGTATTGCTCTTAATATCTTCTAAACGTTCTAAGACTGAAGTCAGGTTTGGGTCATCTGATTCTACAAACCATATTGGTGATGAAGAGGGGTAAGATTCCTGTTTAAAAAAGAGAAACAACACAAGACCCAACAAATAAACAAAAAATCCCAAAGCTTTTAAAAATCATTTACCCCCAAAATTTCTTAACACAGTATTAATACCACCTTTAATCTTACCCTGTGTCAGGTAACACAGAAGTTTTTAACACCACATTTTAGGCAATGCAAAAGAAACTGAAAGAAATCCATCCAACTCGTTCTTCTAGTATTTCAACTGATTTTTGTCTCAGATGATGGATATACATAAGAAGCAGTGCTGAAATGTTTAAAACCTTGGGGGCAGGTGGAGCAGGAGGGACAAATTTAAATATATTTAGGTATGGGTGATTATTAGCAAAAAAAATGGAACGACAAGTAGTGCATGTCAAAAAATAAAAGTGATGCTGATTTTTCATAATAACACAGCTGCTTGCATAGAAAAGTTGTGAAAGCAGTAAAACTTGGAGTCTTTAGATTTCCTCCTCAAACAGGATTATTGAAACTCTTCTAGCACCAACCCGCAGGCAAAAGCAATACAGCTCAAATGTCCTACCTTGAAGGACAGTTTAACTGGCACATCACAGTGCCAAAATCTGCCACTTTATCTTTGTACCACCAAGGCTCATAGAGGATATCCCACTGTTGAAGATTTCTCATGAATACACTGCATCCAGGAAAGCCCATGGCAAAACTCCATTCCATCCAGAGAGTCCCACAGCCAGCAGGCACCAGGACACAGCCAGGTGACACCAAATGGGCTCACAGGATTACAAGTGTGCTCCATTTGTTTTTTTGCACAACAAGCCATGGTGTGGGCACATGGAACCCATGGAAGAGACACAGCTCACGGGTGCCACTAAGGTGCCACGGAATGCAGCCCTTCCAAAGGTGCTTGGCAGACCCCTGCTACAGAAAGGTAAACAGAAACCCTTTGGTTCTTGTTCAGATGTTTCAAAAACCAATTCCAATTTTCTCCTCACACAGGTTTGGTGACATTGTGAGGATGGAAGATACCAAGTAGCTTCCAACTCAACAGTAAGTGTACCTTCATATCATTGATTTTAGTTATTTATTTTAGTTATTTAAAGCATTCTCCACTTCTCACCCTTTCAATTAAACTTTAGTAGCTGAGGACAAATTGCTGAACCTCAGTTTTATCACACAGATATTATCTTTGTATCCCCAGGTCTTAAAAAATAATGAGGGAATTTTCATTCATTTCCCTCACTGCTGTTGAAAAGGGAAAAAAAATCCATCTTTCTCATTCCAGAGACAATAAATTATGTTTCAATCTTCAAAAGTTAACAGGCAAGGCTTGAAAACTGGAGAAAAATACAAGCATGTCAGAACTGGCTTTTAATAAAGTGTATTTCCTAACTGATCTTCTATCTGAAGTTCTGAACCCCATAAACAAACCCTTATGACTACAGGACATCAGCTTTGGCAAAACAGATTGACACCATACACCACAGAAGTTCTAGATACAGCGGTCTAAAATTCCCATCTTCGGGAAACTGAAGCCTTTGCATAAACTTATTTTTTAACAAGTTCAATCCCCTCAAGTTTATGTATAATTTTTTTTTCTAAATCACAGCTACAAAGTTCTTAAAGGAATACATAATATTCCCAGTATCTTTATGAAATGACAAACTGTTCACATCTTTCATCTTCACTTCAAAGCACACAATACACACAATACTATGCTTTGCTTGCTCTTTGTATTTCTCAATGGAAATGTTGGTGCAATCTGAAGTCACTTAGTAGTGTTTCCCCTACTGCTTTTCTCTTAACTTCATGAGCTGCACTGAGAAGTTTGGGTCTCAAGAACAGCTGGGTCAAAGAAGTATTCAGGCAGTGGGTCCACAGTTAGCAGAGATTCCCTTGTGTTGCTCCCCTACAAAGCAGAGACCTTGGAATATCTATTCTTGATAACTAAGGCCTAACATCTCAAATACCTAGCAAAAAAGTCAAGTACTCAGCTTGCCAAGATTTATGGCTAAGGCAGGTTAACAGATGTGGTTTAATCACTTTCTTTACACAACACAGTACTTGAGTATTTTCTTCTCAGTTTCATTTAATGGATTAACCACTATCTCTGTGGGAGAAACAAGACTGAATTCTCCGTTGCCACTGAGTTTCTAAACTGTTATTTTTAGGAGTTAATTTCATTAAAGGTATTTCAGTTTTCATACTGATAACATCTCACTCACTTTTAATAACATGCAACCTACTTGTGAAGTCTTCTGCACTGGTGCAAGCTTCTCACCTCAAGCCTTTCCCACTGCACACTGACCTGGTTGTGCAGGGGGAACAATATGAGGGAATCTCTGCTAACTGCAGCCCCACTGCTTGAATACTTCTTTGACCCAGCTGTTCTTGAGACCCAAACTTCTCAGAGCAGCTCATGAAGTTAAGAAAAAGACAGCAGGGGAAACACTACTACCATGACTTTATATTACACCAACATTCTCCTCAAGAAATACAAAGAGCAAGCAAAATCCCTTCCAAGATACACCAAGCCATCTGTTTTTTAAAATCCTCAGACTCAACAGAATAAAAATATTCTCCAGATATAGTCACATTTGGACTGTGCACATATGCACCATTCTGCTAACAGGTATTTTTGGCTTTTTTTTTTAAATCAAGCATTTTTAAAATATGTTAGTCCAGACCTCCAAAAATCTATTAATTGCAAAGATTTATAGAAGACAAGCACCTGCTGGTCCTCTCTTCCAAATCGTATCTGGAATCTGAAGACTGCTTAGAGAGTGGAACTCAACTCTTCCCTGTCTATACTCCTTTTCTCTGACAATTTTATTTCTCCTTTTTCAACCTAAAGAACAGTCCTACAGTAGGACATTCCTTATTGTAACCAGTGTCTATTCCAGTCTGGGGGCCTATATAATTATCACCTCCAAAATACTTGCAGCATATACATGCACATCAGCCAGATACAAGACTGACAGTGCAGATCTGATGATCAAGCAATTCCACCATGAGTTTAAATACACTGCAGTGGCTACTTGAACATGCTGCTACCCTCCTGCTCTGAGGGACAGTCCTTACTCGTGGTTTACACTCAACTCCATTTTGTGCCCTGAAAACAAGCCCTCCTGAAGGCAAGAAAACCTACAAGGACTCAATACTGCCTGGATTATGAGTGTATAGCACCCATGAATGACTATGTCCTAAAAATTATTAACTATTAAATATTTAGTCTGATCTAGCTTTTGAAACATGAATGGGAAGAATGCACTTCTCAGTAAGGCTCCTCTTTAATACTACAAGCATATTTACTCAGCTTTATCAGGAAATATTTCAAGTTTTAGATTTTTGGGATATGACTATTTAACTGCACATTCCAAGTTTTTCACAACAGATACTTAATATTAAAATACAAATTCAGTCAAGCTTTCACTTTGTGGCAATGCTTAATTTGTCACGCTTACCAATAAATATATTAATTTAATTAAAAAACAAATGCCATTATGTTTCTTTAGATCTGTAAGTAATCCATATTTTTGGAACAGCTGATTTCCACGCGGATATGAGTCACTGTATTTTGAAATACAGAATTCACACATGAACTTCAAACGTTCTGAACTTGAGATATAAAAAGGCTCATGAGTTTGTAATAACCACAGTAGGCAACTTAAAGCTAAGCTTGTGGTTTGTAAGGTTAAACAACTGAACTTCACGTGAGCTAATTCTGTTGAGAGAATTAAATCAGCTTTTTTTTTTTCTTTCTGTATCTACATGCTATAGAGATAAGAGGCGGATTTGAGCTGTGTCATGTAAGGCTTCTAAAATACAACATATGAGAGGAACCCTAAAATAGCAGTTATTTTACTATTAATTATCAGTGGCTAAAAAGCCCCATTACTGTGAGCCTTTCACTAGAGAGCTGCCATGCAGTGATTCTGTCTCTGTGATCTCTCTCAGCTGCACAGCTCTCACCATATTCAGTATTGGAGATGTTTTATGTAACTGCTGCATTTTTTGCTGCTCTCCACAAGCGAAGGCAGCAGCTCTTCTGCAGAGGGGGTGCTGTGGGGCACAGCAGTGCCCACTGGCCAGTGGTGACAGCACAGCTCACCCACACGGGGCCGGACAAAGGCAGCATGTTTACAGCAGCACAGATACAATTACAATTCATGGCATCATCACTTCTAGAGACTCTTTGTATCAGCACCAGGACAGACTGGGAGCTTTGTCAAGGCAAATGCTTCTGTGACAGAATGCAGCAAAAGAATTTAGCCTGCTAATAAACACACAAAATACAAAGGGAATAAAACCCTGCACTCCTGCCATGGGAACAATTTCAAAACTGATCAAAATCATTTAGGAAAACCACTGTGTTAGAAGAATACACACGGGATCTCACTGTTCAGGCATTCCATTACATCCTCTGTAAGAGCTCTTCTTACATTCAACAGCTTTGCTAACCAAAGGGGAAAAAAAAAAAAAGCAGCAAAATGTGACAGAAGATTCTAGGAACACACACAGTAAGACAGCTTTTCCCAGGCAGGATCTGTCATCTAAGTATATCCTATCTAAGCTTCCTCATCCTTAACAATAAGGCCGTTTCCTTGCACTGTTATATAATCTTTATCCTGCTTTCTAAAGCTACAGTGACACAATTTTGATGTAAGAGACTTTTAAAACAAGACATTTCTAAATTACTACAATACTGTTAGAATTGTGATGTTGCTAAATCAAAACATCTCACTCTTAACATTACCTGCAGTTTGCTACAATGCAAAAGAATAATCATCTCTCTTTGTAAACAACTGAGCCATTTTCTCACAGCTAAATGGTAGGAAAACACATTTAAACACATGGCTACTGCATTATGATTTAAAAATACAATGACAAAGTGACAGTTCTTAATTTTCTTTAATTTCCTGATCATACTAGATGGAAAAAAGTGTGGGGGTGGTTTCTTTTAAAAATCCTGAGCATACTGTCTGAACAAATTCAAACCATTTTTATTTTTCTTTTTTTGTTTTCACAAAATCCCCATCATAGACAGAACCTAGTTCTATACTTTTTATACCAGATACAACTAAAACTTAGCTAATCTTCCTAACAGTCCTTCTAATACTCACTTTCTCAGTCCCAAAATTTTTCTTCATTCTCTTTTTTTACAAAAAGCAGAACATCAAATTCCCAGGTTTAAACTAACCAGCTCAGATACTGAGAAGGCTGGAAAGAGACCATTCCTGCTCACCCAAATCTTGGTAATGAAGTAAATCCTAATGGAACAAGACATCTCAGAGGTCCAATATAATCTTCTCAAGGTGAATACACTTGCCTCTATAACATATGCCAAATAATTGATTTCAAATCACAGATGTCTTTCCAACTTCATCCATTTAATTAAACAGAAGAATCAGATCATTATTAAGGTGGCCTTAATAAGGGTCATATATAAATCCTACATGAACATTCAATAAACACTGAAGAATAAACAACAATTAGCTACACTTTAGTACACATTATTTGCAATTGTTAGTCAATCATTCACCACTTATTTTTCCATCTGTATCAAGCTGCCTTTAGAAGAAAAAACCCACAAAGTTAATATTAACAAAAATATCAGGATTTAGGCAGATATTCTTAAAGCTAAAGTTTAACTTGGTGACCATAAAACACTAGTACTTACAGCTACTTAAAACAGCATTAGTTGTGATTACACAACTGACAGATTGTTTCCCATTATTAGAGGCCAAATTTTCCAAAGGCAGCTTAAGAAGCAGTAAGCATTTTCTACCACTGGCAGCTCAAGTGCCAGTGAAATCCACAGGCTTAAGAACCTTTAAAAGCCAGCAGATTGTCCTCTGCCCTCTCAACCAATCCTTTATAACAATTAAGAAAGAAGAAAGCATGAAGAATCAGTTTCATTGAAAGTAATCCAAATCAAACTATTTCCCAGAAACCTCCAGTTACTTAAACTCCCCAAATTTTTATTTTCAAAGAGTCAGACATCACCATTTGCTGTGTTGTATAGATCAAGTCATTGAACATTACAATTCTCTAACATTTGCGCTTTTAGATATGAAAAATTTGTCATTTCTTAAAGACTCCAAGATGTCAGTGATCCAGAGTTCTAAAATATAAGAAAAGTATTTGCAATGGAGAGTTTAAAATGCAATTTAGTATTTCTGGTAGCAAGGAAGCAAAGTGAATTTTAAACTACCAAACAAGAGGTAAACTTTAACTTGCTTTTCCTCTTGAATTTTAAAACCATATATAACATGCTGTTCACCTGCCTGAAGACAAGCCTGTATAGCTTTACTTTCCGTCCACCCTCCCTAAAGCCTGACAGGCTCAGTTCAGTGAGAACACTTGCTCACCACCACACAACACCAAGTCCTGCACTTGGTATTCACCAAGTTCAGCTCTCTGAAATACCCATCTCTCCCTACAACATACAAAATTACTGCAATTCTACTCCTAAATTTAATGGCTGCATTGACAGCTGCAACCTGTACACAATCCCAGGTGAAGCATCATCCTTTGGTAGGATCTCTGGGATTGCCAGAGCTTAATCATCTTGCACCTTTACAGGAAGAAGGTGAAAGAATCCCCTAATCCTGTCCTATGTCAGCTCTGCTAATACGCTCAGTGCTGCAGAAGCCAATACCTTCAGGAGCGCATTAAATCAACACAACAAGCAGGGTCACAGCTGGCCTCTCCCACACACCTCTAGGGAAGGAGGCAAGTGTAGCAGAGTACCCTGGTTTAGAATTGTTCAGGTTATTAAACACAGCCATGCTAGAAGGGAGGGTCAAAGGTATGTGCCTCATGGAGCAGAAAGACTGTAACAAACCACCACTCTATAGATGCCAGTAAAATTCACTCTGCGACCACGAACAAAACAAAAATACAGTTCTCTGTACGAACAAGTTCTGACTGGAGAAGACTACCACTAAAGTAACTAGGAGGAAATGTTTGTTGCAAGTATATAGAATGGTTCTGAGGACCCCTTTTGTTGTCACAAGGCCCTTCTGAGAGAAGGGCCACTGCCCTACTGTCACATCAGGTGTCACAGGCACACACGTGGCACTCTGACACTGCACCTTCTCCAGCTGCCTTCTGCACAAGGGCACAGGGACCACAGCACGGCTCTGAATCAACTGAAACTTTACACCATACAACACTTCTTGCAATATACAGATTCAGCAGCTTCTGTAAGTGCCAATCTTCATTGACAGCGACCACAGAATGAAGGAATTTCAACAGGGACAGTATTTCAATGGCAATTCACTTATGTACAATTCACTTATGTACAAATTATTCCAAAATCCAAGCAGTTTGTAATCTGCACTAATTCATTAGTTCAACCCAAGCCCATAGAATTTTCTTGGAAGTATTATGGAATCTTTTAACTTCTTAGAACTTCTATACACCCAAGATAGAAAATAACATTTTGAGGAAAAAAAAAATTTTGAAAAAAGCATCTACAACCAAAGTAGCAAAGGCACAGATCATCACTTCAAATGGTCACAAATATGAAGGCAAATGTGGCATTATAATTCTTACATTTCTTGTGGTCAAGTTCTTGAGGCCAGCTGCTCTTCAAATTACTTAATCTATGCAAAATGTCACAACTGCCAAGTCCCATACATAAAATTCTATATAACCCTGGGAAAAACAGGTCTATCAGATTCTCTTATCAGCTGTCACAACTTCATCCTCTCTCTATACCAAGCAAAAGGCTTGTCCAGTGGAACAAAACTACACAGACTTAAAATATTAATTTGGAGTATCAAAGAAAAGAATTTCACTTTTCTGATAAAACACAGTTACTGTTCATCACTGTGAAGTAGCATTTTACCACATCATAATGCAGCATGTAATCTCTCCACTCAAGGAGGTTCACAGAAAAAAACCAAACACTCAACATTTTATCCAGACCCAAACTAAAAATCCCCCAAATGTTACTGAACTGCTGCTCCAACACAACTCAACACTACAGGACTGTATTAACAGCATAGCAAGTAAGTTGTTCTGGAGCATCACATAGTCTCTGAAAATGTACATTATCGTGAAGGGCCAACCTATGGGAGCTAAGGAACATTGCTTTGCCAATGTTAATAGCAACAAAAAAAAGTTAAACATCCTCCACACTCAAAACTGAGCAAAGCACACAGCACTGCTGAAGACTAAGTGACGTGCTGATTTGGAACATGGCTGTAGACTCAAAACTATGTCCAGGTTTTTATTACAGCACCTCACAGCAGCAGGACCAAGCTATCCTGCTCCTCACACACAAAAACCCACTGTGCACTTGCACCCTCAGCTTGCCAGTTGTCAGAGGCTGGTTGTTTGGGAGCCCTCAGACACACAAGGGGTTCTCTTTAATGCACATATTACACATGCACTCAAGTTGGCAGTGCTTTACCTACGAGCAGCTACACATATGGGCTCAAGAGAAAGGTATTTTGCAAATCTGATTCTGCAATACTCTCTTTACTACCAGCACAGAATCTGATGTGTCCAAATGCCTGCAGGAAGTCTGGTTACTTGAAACAAATTATCGACTCCTAATTATCAAGAGTTATTTCTGCAACTATACCAGCCAGTTATCATAAGCAAGAGTGTCACAAAGCTAGAGTAACAAGAAATGGCTTCTAGTACGGCTAGAACAGAAAAACTGGTTATAACAAAGTTGTGATATATCCCTCCTCTCATCAACTTAAATTCAGAAAGTTTCCTTGCAGACCTGCTCTCACCTTTATCACTTACACAGTTACTCCACAGTATGCAAAGTCTGATATCACCTCTGTTGTCACCCAGAAGATTCAGGCTTCCCCTTCTTCCCCTAACTTCAGGAATTTACATCTTTCAAGTGTTCAAATCACTCAGCATCCCCTTCTATTTGTGCCCTTTCCCCTCTCTGAAAGGAATCCTCCTCTTTTACACCTTTTTCTCTTGCAAACTTCCTGTACTCCAGATACACCTGCAGGTAGAAGAATTTTTATTCTCACCCATGGCTGAGAGAGGTCCTGCTGCTCCTCACACCTGAGAGCATTCCAACCACCATGCTCCCAAGCTCTCCCCTCACAGTAATGTACACAGCTGCCCTGATGCTGCTTAGCCACAGGCCTTCAGATTAGAGCTGGATGGAATCTGCATGTCCCCCACATGCAAAATTTCAGCACCATGGAGTTTAACCAGTGGTTACCATTAGAAAGTTAAATAACACAACTGTTACCACAATTATTTCCTACTTCAAAAACTCAAGGAAGCCTGTGGTATCTTGAACACCACTGCTCAGGAACACTTTGATTTTTTTCTAATGCCACTATACAAGTTCTAACAGAGCTTATGTTCCTGCCTTCCTGAATACACACTGAAGAAGCAACTGCAAGATCTACAACTGCATTGAATTATTCTGCTCTAAGAGGGCAAAAGATTGAGATCTGAAAGGAGAATACAGTTTATACTAAATCTTCATAAATCATGAGCTGCTCTACAGTACTTAGTACACCAAGATGTCTTGTAAACAAGAGATAAAGAAAAAAAACCCCCACATATAAGGTCATTATTTTCATATCACGCTTAGAGATTACAGCTGGACACAAGACATCAGTGAGACATACAATAACTGGTATGCTTGATATCAACTGAGAACCATTGTGATCATATTAGCTTCAAGTGTGTACTGCATACAGGCAGACTGATCGAAGATTAAATGCTAAATAGTGTCTTCTTACTATAATCAGTCATTTAATTTTCCAGTTGTCTTCTAGGAGCTGCTGGTGAAAGGTCATTTGTGATTCTCCTATATGACTTGTAGCTGAAGAAACACAGCAGAACACATACTAAATCATCAACTGTCTAGTCTCTTAAAAACAGAATATTTAAAGGAAAAAAAGACCCCAAATACTCCAGCCAAGAATTCAGGCATTTACAACCTTTTGAAAACTACATAAAGGCAAATAACCTGACAGTACTGAAAAAAGTCCACACTGAGGCATAACTAAAATAGTAGTCATTTCTGTTAATCAACTTCTACAAACATTTGTTCCTATCAAGAAATTTTACCTCCTTTCTTTCCTATTAATAATAGTCTTTAAAGAATTATCTCCATCTCTGCATCTTGCAGTCTCCAGGAAAGAGGCAGATTTTACAAGTACACAAACTCCTCACAATTAAGTCTGGTCCAGCTATCACTAACAACTCAGGCACTCGTGGAGACCCAGGGGCCTGGTGCCACCCCAGGCACTGCACCCAGGAGAGGTCAGTCCCAAGTGCCAGCCAGGGCCCTGCCAGCACTGC